CTCCATAAATAAAACATGAAGATTTCTGGCTCTTTCCACTGTGGTTGTGTGTGTGTGTGTGTGTGTGCGTGTGCGTGCATGTGTGTGTGTGTGAGTGCGTGTGCAAGTGTGTGTATGTGTGTTTGTGTGTGTGTGTGCGTGTGTGTGTCTGGGGAGAGAGGCTGAGGATGCAGTCGTGTTGTTTTAGTGCAGGCCCACACTGACTCAGGAACGGAGCCATTTTAACTTTCCATACACACCTCTTAAATATAACCCTATTCTATTTACAATTCTACTTATTTATTCCTCACTTGCCCAACAACCCGTTTGGTGTAGAGAAAATAGACAAAATAGAGCCAAGAATGTGTTTGGGAGTTTAGGATTAAATGTATGAACTAAATTTAATATGGTTCAACAATAAAGTTTTGCCCAACTATGTAAATTCTATGGGTTTGATGGTTAAAGGCAGGCGTGTCGAGCTCATTCCGGTCAGGAGCCAATTTTAAAAATGTAAGATCTGTTTGGGACCAAAAGTGTAAAAGTGGTCTGTCCAAACAGGCTGTAAAACAGCTGCAGTACATTCAAAATGCAGCAGCTCGAGTCCTGACTAAAACCAGGAAGTACGACCATATTAGTCCTGACTAAAACCAGGAAGTACGACCATATTAGTCCTGACTAGAACCAGGAAGTACGACCATATTAGTCCTGACTAGAACCAGGAAGTACGACCACATTAGCCCTGACTAGAACCAGGAAGTACGACCACATTAGTCCTGACCAGAACCAGGAAGTACGACCACATTAGTCCTGACTAAAACCAGAAGTACGACCACATTAGTCCTGCCCAGAACCAGGAAGTACGACCACATTAGTCCTGACTAGAAACAGGAAGTACGATCACATTAGTCCTGACTAGAACCAGGAAGTATGACCACATTAGTCCTGACTAGAACCAGGAAGTACGACCACATTAGTCCTGACTAGAACCAGGAAGTACGACCACATTAGTCCTGACTAGAACCAGGAAGTACGACCGCATTAGTCCTGACTAGAACCAGGAAGTATGACCACATTAGTCCTGACTAGAACCAGGAAGTATGACCACATTAGTCCTGACTAGAACCAGGAAGTACGACCAAATTAGTCCTGACTAGAACCAGAAGTACGACCGCATTAGTCCTGACTAGAACCAGGAAGTATGATCACATTAGTCCTGACTAGAAACAGGAAGTACGACCGCATTAGTCCTGACTAGAATCAGGAAGTACGATCTCATTAGTCCAGTCCGCAGGTCTCGGCACTGGCTTCCTGTGGCTCAGAGAATAGACTTTAAAACAGCTCTGCTTGTGTAGCCTTTACGTGGTCTTGCACCATCGGGGACATGTTGGTGCTGTATGAACCAACTCGGACTCTGAGGAGCACAGGGACTGGCCTCCCGCTGGTACCTAGGGTCAGAACTAGACATCGGGAGGCAGCATTTCAGGTGTATGCCCCAAACATCTGGAACAGCCTTCCTGAGGGTGTACGCTTCATCTCTGGCATTGTTTAAGTCTAACCTGAAAACCGTTCTTTTTAGCGGTACGTATGACTGAGTTTTATATATTAAGCTTTTATTCCTTTTTAATTCTGACATTCATTCTGAAATGTTTATTTTAATGCAACAATTATTATTGTTATTATTATCATTGTTATTATTTTTATTATTTTTTTGTATCCTTTTTTGTAAATGTGTATGATTGTATGTTCTTTTGAAGCACTTTGGGTTGCACTGCATGAATTGCGCTCTATAAATAAACTTGATTGATCTATTATTCCAAAAATATTGTACAAAAAGTTTTGTTAATGATTTAGCAGGAGTAACAAACCTTTGTTACCTGCTTCACAAAGAAATGCGTATGTCTCAAAATAAAGTCTTAAAAAAACATTTTGTCTTTTGCATACTGAGAGCTGATTGGCTCTCGACTTACTGACCCCGAACCCACAAGTGAAAGTGTCAGGTAATAAATAGGGACATGTTGAAAAGGGACTTAGAAGTGCTTAATAAGTACCAGTTAAAAGCTAATTAACCATACACTGTAAACCCTGACAAGTAAAGATGACTTGAAAAAACCATGGAAATAAATTGCATATTAACTTCACTTGAATTCCTCGAGTACATCCTTTACTTGATATTACCAAATAAACTCATGTGACTGCGATAAAGTGTTAAATTCAACGTGTGTTCCGACTGAGATTTGTACTTGGAACCTTGTGGTTGAGAGGTGAAGGTGCTATCCACTCAGCCACCGACCCACTGCATCATTGACACACCTGCTTCATTAAAGATTCCACAGAGACAGTTCAATTCAAAGAAAACCCTGAGTGATAAACCAAGCTTTAAATAAACAACAATAAATGAGTCATTTTACTTACTGGGAAAAATCTATTTAAAATAACTTTGATATCTGAAGTACGATTGAAATTAGGGTTTACAGTGTACAGGATACACTAGTTAGCAGTTAATTAGCTTCGGATTAGTAATGGCTGAATTATAGCGTTACCAAAGATTATTAACTAACTGACTTTATAATAGCAGTGGTAAGAATTTTCCCGTTTTTGTATTTTTCCAACCCTGTTTTCTCACCTCAATAGTAAACGCAGTCACCCCCAGTCCAAACAGAAGTACTCAGATACACCTTTTCCATCTAAAATCCACCATTAACTTTAACAAGATGTCGCCGATGAGTGAGGGGCCACACATATGTGCGTATCAACCACCTCCTGTGCAGCACCCGGCAGCACCCTGGGGTGGGGGTCCGCTAGCAGGTCAATGTAACCCACACCCGGCTCCATCCAAATCCCTGCACTGACAAACTAAGCCACCGTTTCACCGCTAACCCCGACGTGACCGCACCGACCACGTCAACGCAGAGAAATGGAGAGCAAAAGTATCGCTCGGATTAAATGATAAATAATGTTATGATCGTCGCACTCTGCGCCAATGGCCACTTCTGCACCGGCTTTGGATTTCACCCGGGCTCGGAGGTAGAAACCCAAACACACAGCACTGAGGAGAAGGCACAAAAGCATGAAACACGATTACTACGCGAGCTACTATTTTATTACATTGCCAAAAAGTGAAATCGAATTGAAAAATTTAATTAGATTTGTTCTATCAGCGCTGACAGATTTGGGTTCCATGTCGGAGGCGATGGGAGGATGTGGCGGCCCGGGTTTGACAGGTGCGAGGGGATGGAAACATTTGACAAATAGGGAAGTTTATCTGCGTGAGAGTGAGTCCATATGAAGACAATATGGTGTGGAGCGTGGAGACGGTATCGCTCTGTGTCTGGCTGCGGGGCGGGCTGAAGGGGAACAGGCAGGACCATGAGGGGGAACAGGCAGGACCATGAGGGGGAACAGGCAGGACCATATAGGATTATCAGTCTGAGAACAATGCTCTGGGGCTGGGTCTCAGTGCACGTTTGGAAGAAATATATACGTAAATGAGATGGATGTGTTCTTTTATGAAGTCAGAAGTTTGGATGATGGACAATCGTGAATTTGAGAAGAGAAAGGATGAGGTGCAGCAGGGTCAGTGGAGGGAGAAGCATTCTGTTAGAGAAAAAAGGGAAAAGATGGAACTATTAGTATTTAGGCTGGACTTATATCTCCTACCATGTTAGTTCCAACTCGGACTTAAAGCACAGGGACTGTCCCCCTGCTGGGACTCTGAGGAGCACAGGGACTGGCCTCCTGCTGGTCCCAGAGTTCTACTTTTTTAAATGCTATTTGTACAGGATAAGTATTACCTGTGGACCTGTGGTGATCATCTATCACCCTGGTCCTGCAGTGATCCCGTCGATGGCGTGCCCCTTAGCCCCGCCCCCTCCCCTCCTCCTCCCCGCGTGATTGGCCGGCCGCCCCCGTGCCGCTGGTGCGTGTGGCGGTGCGTGAGATGTCATGACGTGGTTTGCACAGCTCTCCGCACACGTACTAAAGTGTCGCTGCCACGTTATAAATCTGAGCCCGGAGCAGCGGGAAAGTCAACAAGGAAGGAGCACGGGCGACTGCAGACGCACTGAGGGGCTGTGTCTGCGGCGCTTCGAACCGAGCCTTTTACAGGTGGACGGAGGCTTTTGGGAACAAGCTCCAAAAGAGAGGAACTGTTTATGTGTTAGTGGCTGTGTTGATTTCAAACAGGAAGAATAATAATAAAGTGAATGAAACTTGAAGGCTATGTGACGTACTTTGTTCCAGTCTCATTGACACTCGGACTCTCAGCAGTCATTTCGACGGCTCCCATTCAAATCAATGGGATTCGGAAAAAATCCCCAAACCTTTTAGTTTTTCACCAGTTTTATTCAAAGTAATCTCAGTGATCTCAGAGTCTGTGATAAACTAAAACATTTCCTCTTTACATTTAATTCTGTGCTTTTGCAACACAAATAACACAACAAAACACACAGAGAGAAAGTAACTTTAACTGCCCTCTCAGCTGCCGTCCTTCTGCAGAATGAGGTGAAATGAGCCTTGCTCCTGCTCCTGCTCCGGCTCCTGCTCGGCTCCTGCTCTGGCTCCTGCTCTGGCTCCTGCTCTGGCTCCTGCTCCGGCTCCTGCTCTGGCTCCTGCTCCGGCTCCTGCTCCGGCTCCTGCGCCGGCTCCTGCTCCGGCTCCGGTTCCTGCTCCGGCTATGGCTCCTACTCCTGCTCCTGCTCTTACTCCTGCTCCGGCTCCGGCTCCTGCTCCGGGTCCTGCTCCGGCTCCTGCTCCGGCTCCTGCTCCTGCTCCGGCTCCTGCTCCGGCTCCTGCTCCTGCTCCGGCTCCGGCTCTTGCTCCGGCTCCTGCTCCGGGTCCTGCTCCGGCTCCGGCTCCTGCTCCGGCTCCTGCTCCTGCTCCGGCTCCGGCTCCTGCTCCGGCTCCTGCTCCGGCTCCTGCTCCGGCTCCTGCCCCGGCTCCTGCTCCTGCTCTGGCTCCTGCTCTGGCTCCTGCTCTGGCTCCTGCTCCGGCTCCTGCTCCGGCTCCTGCTCCTGCTCCGGCTCCTACTCCTGCTCCGGCTCCGGCTCCTGCTCCGGGTCCTGCTCCGGCTCCTGCTCCGGCTCCTGCTCCGGCTCCGGCTCCGGCTCCTGCTCCGGCTCCGGCTCCGGCTCCGGCTCCGGCTCCTGCTCTGGCTCCTGCTCCGGCTCCGGCTCCGGCTCCGGCTCCTGCTCCGGCTCCGGCTCCGGCTCCTGCTCCTGCTCCGGCTCCTGCTCCGGCTCCTGCTCCTGCTCCGGCTCTTGCCCCTGCTCCTGCGCTCACCCTGCGTCTGTGTTTACACTGCAAATATCAGAAAATGACTGGAGCCAATTAATAGTCATTTACATATTCCTGGCCGCTTCCCGATAGAGGCGGGGTCAAAGGGTGGAGCTGTTGGCCAGGAAATTAGACACCAAGCCTGAAAGTAGAAAGAAGAAAAAAACATGAACAAGGTGCTCTAATTCATGTTTTAATGGAGCCAAATGAGGAGGTGAAAGGAGAGAGTCTAAGTGTGACGGAGGAGGTCGTCATGGAAACGGGGAGGAGGGGGGTTTGTGTTTTTTTTGGTTTGTTTACGCGAGGCTGGATGTGTAATTACTGGAATACCACCACCTACAGCTACAGCTGATGGGAGTCAAAGGGAGGTAGACTTTGGAGAGTTCTGTACAAACATGTGGCCGGTTGATTTTCTTAAATTTTTGAATATTTTAACTGTGAAGTAAACAGCATTAACGAATATAGAAAAAATAAATTAATATCGTAGAGGAAGTTTCTGGGTTTGACTCTTGTCTAATGACCAGGAATGGGACTAATACTCTCACCAGGTTGTTAAGAAAACTCTGCTCTCTCTGGAAACTTTGAGAATGCACCAAAGAAAGTGGTTCAGCAACAAAGAGAGACCAGAGAGAGACCAGAGAGAGGCCAGAGAGAGACCAGAGAGAGAGACCAGAGAGAGAGGCCAGAGAGAGACCAGAGAGATACCAGAGAGAGACCAGAGAGAGGGGAGAGAGAGGCCAGAGAGAGGCCAGAGAGAGACCAGAGAGAGGCCAGAGAGAGACCAGAGAGAGAGACCAGAGAGAGACCAGAGAGATACCAGAGAGAGACCAGAGAGAGGGGAGAGAGAGGCCAGAGAGAGGCCAGAGAGAGACCAGAGAGAGGCCAGAGAGAAGCCAGAGGGAGAGACCAGAGAGAAACCAGAGAGAGGCCAGAGAGAGACCAGAGAGAGGCCAGAGAGAAGCCAGAGAGAGAGACCAGAGAGAAACCAGAGAGAGACCAGAGAGAAACCAGAGAGAGGCCAGAGAGAGGCCACAGAGAGAGACCAGAGAGAGGCCAGAGAGAGAGACCAGAGAGAGGCCAGAGAGAGACCAGAGAGAGACCAGAGAGAGGCCAGAGAGAGAGACCAGAGAGAGGCCAGAGAGAGACCAGAGAGAGGCCAGAGAGAGAGAAGCCAGAGAGAGAGACCAGAGAGAATCCAGAGAGAGACCAGAGAGAGGAGAGAGAGACCAGAGAGAGAGTCTTTTTTCCTTCTTTCTCTGCTGAAATGTGCAACGATGACACTGAAGACAGCTCTGAATGCAGACTCTGCTCCCTCTTCACCACAACAATCTAAGACAGCTCTGAATGCAGACGCTGCTCCCTCTTCACCACAACAATCTAAGACAGCTCTGAATGCAGACGCTGCTCCCTCTTCACCACAACAGTCTGATACAGCGACCGCATCACTGCACACGCTTCACCGATCTGCCTTCAATCTCACGCTACATCCTTTCCTCACCGTGAACAAGATCCCGAGATACTTGAACTCCTCCACTTGAGGAAGGACTGCTCCACCTGGAGAGGACCAGGACCTGCAGGACCAGGACCTGAAGAGGACCAGGACCTGGAGAGGACCAGGACCCAGAGAGGACCCTTTTCCCGGTCGAGCACCATGGCCTCAGATTGGGAGGTGCTGTTTATTTGATATGTTTTGAGTGTCCAAAACAGTGGTACATAAGTTAAATGTATTATTATATTATTATTATTATTAACTGATGCATTTCTGTGGTTCCGCTCCATCCACAGAGAAGGCAAACTCCCGGCCGTTACAACACGACCACAATAGCGTCATCCACCGCGGCCTCGACATGAAGCGAGCGAGGAGAAGATGAGGTCATCGGCCGCTGAAGGTCTGCGTCCCGCGGGAGGAGCAGACATTGCCTTCGCGGCTCCAGCTCTGAGCCCTGTGACAGTGATGTTCCACAGTGGCACCGCTCACCGCAGAGTCCGGCAGAGTCCAGCACCAGTGTCCACACACACACACACACACACACACACACACACACACTGAGCTCCTGACCCGGGGCCAAGAGAAGCAGTGCGTAAGGTGCTGACATCCCAAATGATAGTTTCCACCGCGGGTCGCACCATTGTGAGGCTAGAACGCTCTTTATTGGCGGCGGCGGCGGAGGTTTAGCCGCGAGCTGAAAGGACCCAGTGTTTGCGAACCCCACAGAGGAGCTTTGAGACGGGACGAGTGACAGCAGTGTGTCCCGAGGAGACTCATCGTAAAGTCAATTATACAAATGTCACAGGACAACTTTGACAATTTACAGAGCAGCAGTTGGAAAACCACATGAGTTAAAGTAATCCACGTTCGCCGAAAAGTGAGCGTTCAAACGGGACAGAACGTATTCTCTGGGGACGGTCCAGGACACTCCACGTTCATGACATTTATGGATATTTATTAACGTGTATGGACATCTGTCTCTGCTCCTCATGAACCAATGGCTCTATGTGTTTGTTATTGTTGCTTTTCCTGTGTTTCTGTTGTTGGTGAATCGACAGCTTTGTAAAATCCTCCAAAAAACTACTCTTGTGATTTAGGGCGATATGAAAAATACCTTGAATTGAATTGAATCCATAAGAGCTAAAAAGTGAAAGAATCCCATTGGAGCATGTATAATAATTTATTACATTATTATCTCTGATATACGCAATTTTCCAAAAAAACATTTGGCATTTACCACAAGTTAATGTAGCAATATGTGAGATTTTTATGTTGAGTCATCATTAAAGGGCCCTAATCTGTCATTAAAGGGCCCTAATCTGTCATCATTAAAGGGCCCTAATCTGTCATCATTAGAGGGCCCTAATACTTAATCATTAAAGGGCCCTAAACTGTCATCATTAAAGGGCCCTAATCTGTTTTAATTAAGGGGCCCTAATCTGTCATCATTAAAGGGCCCTCATCTGTCATAATTAAAGGGCCCTCATCTGTCTTCATTAAATGGCCCTCATCTGTCATCAGTAAAGGGCCCTAAACTGTCATCATTAAAGGGCCCTAATATGTTATCATTAAAGGGCCCTAAACTGTGATCATTAAAGGGTCCTAATCCGTCATAATTAAAGGGCCCTAATCTGTCGTTATTAAAGGACCCTGATCTGTCCTCATTAAAGGGCCCTGATCCGTCCTCATTAAAGGGCCCTAATCTGTCATCATTAAAGGGTCCTAATCTGTCATCATTAAAGGGCCCTAATCTGGCATCATTAAAGGGCCCTTATCTGTCATCATTAAAGGGCCCTCATATGTCATAATTAAAGGGCCCTCATCTGTCATCATTAAAGGGCCCTAATCTGTCTTCATTAAAGGGCCCTAATCTGTCGTTATTAAAGGACCCTGATCTGTCCTCATTAAAGGGCCCTGATCCGTCCTTATTAAAGGGCCCTAATCTGTCATCATTAAAGGGTCCTAATTTGTCATCATTAAAGGGCCCTAATCTGGCATCATTAAAGGGCCCTTATCTGTCATCATTAAAGGGCCCTCATATGTCATAATTAAAGGGCCCTCATCTGTCATCATTAAAGGGCCCTAATCTGTCATCATTAAAGGGCCCTAATCTGTCATCAGTAAAGGGCCCTAATCTGTCATCATTAAAGGGCCCTAAACTGTCATCATTAAAGGGCCCTAATATGTTATCATTAAAGGGCCCTAAACTGTGATCATTAAAGGGTCCTAATCCGTCATAATTAAAGGGCCCTAATCTGTCGTCATTAAAAGGCCCTGATCTGTCCTCATTAAAGGGCCCTGATCCGTCCTCATTAAAGGGCCCTAATCTGTCATCATTAAAGGGTCCTAATCTGTCATCATTAAAGGGCCCTAATCTGTCATCATTAAAGGGCCCTAATCTGTCATCATTAAAGGGCCCTAATCTGTCATCATTAAAGGGCCCTAATCTGTTATCATTAAAGGGCCCTAATCTGTCATCATTAAAGGGCCCTAATCTGTCATCATTAAAGGACCCTAATCTGTCATCATTAAAGGACCCTACTCTGTCATCATTAAAGGGCCCTAATCTGTCATCATTAAAGGACCCTAATCCGTCATCCTTAAAGGGCCCTAATCTGTCATCATTAAAGGGCCCTAATCTGTCATCATTAAAGGGGCCTAATCTGTACTCATTAAAGGGCCCTAAACTGTGATCATTAAAGGGTCCTAATCCGTCATAATTAAAGGGCCCTAATCTGTCGTCATTAAAGGGCCCTGATCTGTCCTCATTAAAGGGCCCTGATCCGTCCTCATTAAAGGGCCCTAATCTGTCACCATTAAAGGGCCCTAATATGTCATCATTAAAGGGTCCTAATCTGTCATCATTAAAGGGCCCTAATCTGTCATCATTAAAGGGCCCTAATCCGTCATCATTAAAGGGCCCTAATCCGTCATAATTAAAGGGCCCTAATCTGTCATAATAATAAACTGTTCTTTTCCAATACTTCTTCAACTGATAACAATAGTCCAGAGATATTTTAATTTCTAAATTAGATTTCCAGCCCTAAATCTTGTTATTGTTTTCATTTCGATGTCACGCCCTCCACCATTTCACCAATCAGAAAGTCTGTGATCCGGGCACCAGAAGTCACGGCGTGGAGCTAATCTCACTGGTAAAGTACCATGTGGCACAGAACTAAAAAAGGTCTCGTTATGATTCTCAAATCAACAAAACAAGGAATAAAACCAGGATTTCTATCTTTGTGAAAAAGGTGTTGGTTATAGATTTGTTGTTGATAAAACTGCCGCCATGTTCCAGCTTTGAAGGATTGAGTGGAAAATACATGTTGCACTGTAGCACTCTCTTTCTGGCCTGGTCTTGTTTGGTCTGATCTCGTATGGTTTGGTCTCGTCTGATCTGGTCTGGTTTGGTCTGGTATGGTCTGGTTTGGTCTCCCCTAGCCTGGTAAGGTCTTGTTGGATTTAGTTTGGTCTGGTTTGGTCTGGTCTCGTATGGTTTGGTCTGGTCAGCTCTAGTTTGGTCTGGTCTGCTTTGGTTTCGTCTAGTCTGGCTTGGTCTGGCTTGGTCTGATCTGGCCTTGTCTGGTTTGGCCTAGTCTGGTTTTGTCTGCTTTGGTCTGACCTGGCCTGGTTTCGGCTTGGTCTAGTTTGGTCTAGTTTGGTCTTGTTTGGTCTGGTCTGGCCTGCAACCCGACCACCTGTGAGAGCCTGGGTCTGCTGAGTCCTGCTGCACAGTCATTTGACCGATCGCTTCATGGATTCATTTTAAACAGCCTCCACTTATCAAGTGTAATTAAGGTCCCCCCAGACCAGAGACCAGAGACCGTAGACCAGAGACCAGAGACCAGAGACCGTAGACCAGAGACCAGAGACCAGAGATCAGAGACCAGAGACCTTAGACATTAGACATTAGACCATAGACCATATAGACTTAGACCATAGACCTTGGACCAGAGACGGAGCGAGTCCCACTGGAGGATGAGAAATGATCGAGTCCCACTCTGGTTCTGAAGATGAAGTAATTCGGGCCGGGCACTAATGTAGGCTCCAGGTTTGACATGGCTCACTGACTTTGACTTAATATTTATCCTGCGCATAAACATTTGGTATAAAAACACGAGCTGGAGCCGAAGACCAGTTACTCAGGTCCTTCGCAGCTGAGAGAGACGTCTGAGGCATCAACAGACTGAGGCAGGAGCTGGAGAAGGAGAAGTACGTGATGTCACATAACGTACTATTGAAACAGGAATCTACAAAAGACGTTAACCTCATGCACTCCAATATCTATCTGTCTGTACACTGCAAAAAGGGATAAAAACAGTCAAAATATGGGCAAATTTAGCAACATTTATGGTAAAATTGAGTGGATTCTGACTGAGCCCCAAAACAAGATTTTAGAACGAAGCAAAATCATCTTGTTATAGATATGTGAAATGTCTCGCTTGGAATGACAACATAAAAAATGATAAAAAAATGGACATTAGGATAAAAAAAAACCCCCATCAATTATTACTTCATATTTTATCATTTTTTTGTAGTGTAGGAGTTCATACAAGTCGGTGGGCTCTGTTTTGAGCTTGATTATTGATCACATTATACTTGCTGGACCATAACGCCCATAAAATGATGGAGCTAATGTAAATATTTTTCAAAATCAGTAAAAAAAATCTCAAATTTAGAAAACTTTTACCAAATTCTTGTGGCTGGACTTTAAAGCTGCTTTGGTTGTTACAAGTCTCTCCACGGCCTCAAAGTACATCTGTGACATGTTAGTGCTATAGGGACCAACTCTGAGGAGCACAGGGACCTCCTGCTGGGACTCTGAGGAGCACAGGGACTGGCCTCCTGCTGGGACTCTGAGGAGCACAGGGACTGGCCTCCTGCTGGGACTCTGAGCAGCACAGGGACTGGCCTCCTGCTGGGACTCTGAGGAGCACAGGGACTGGCCTCCTGCTGGGACTCTGAGGAGCACAGGGACTGAACTCCTGCTGGGACTATGAGGAGCACAGGGACTGGTCTCCTGCTGGGACTCTGAGGAGCACAGGGACTGGTCTCCTGCTGGGACTCTGAGGAGCACAAGGACTGGACTCCTGCTGGGACTCTGATGAGCACAGGGACTGGCCTCCTGCTGGGACTCTGAGCAGCACAGGGACTGGCCTCCTGCTGGGACTCTGAGGAGCACAGGGACTGAACTCCTGCTGGGACTCTGAGGAGCACAGGGACTGGTCTCCTGCTGGGACTCTGAGGAGCACAGGGACTGGTCTCCTGCTGGGACTCTGAGGAGCACAAGGACTGGACTCCTGCTGGGACTCTGAGGAGCACAGGGACTGGGCTCCTGCTGGGACTCTGAGGAGCACAGGGACTGGACTCCTGCTGGGACTCTGAGGAGCACAGGGACTGGACTCCTGCTGGGACTCTGAGGAGCACAGGGACTGGTCTCCTGCTGGGACGCTGAGGAGCACAGGGACTGGTCTCCTGCTGGGACTCTGAGGAGCACAGGGACTGGACTCCTGCTGGGACTCTGAGGAGCACAGGGACTGGACTCCTGCTGGGACTCTGAGGAGCACAGGGACTGGACTCCTGCTGGGACTCTGAGGAGCACAGGGACTGGACTCCTGCTGGTCCCAGAGTCAGGACTTAACATGGACAGGCTGCATTTCAGATTCATGCTGCAAAAATCTGGTACAGCCTTCCTGAAAACCTGAGACCTGTTCCAACCGGGATTCGAACCCAGGAAGATGCTAACCACTCAGCCACCATGCAACAATCCGACACAGAACCACAGAGGCAGGTCAGCATTTCAATCCCTTCAATCTTTGCTTTTTAATCCTGAATTGACGGCGATAAGTCTGAGAAATCGAACCCGTGCCGTCCTCTGTCCGTCTGAAGCGACAGGACACAGAACACTGTTTACTGATCCAAGAACACAAACAAACACTTACGTAATGAGGTTGGCCACGGCTCTTTCCCTCTTCCTGCCTCCTCCTCCTCTTCCTCGCTGTGCCGAGCCGGGACAGTCCCGCTGGCTCCACACCGTCCTGTTTGAACAAGGAGCTCAGGTAAACACGGGGGCGGACGGAGCCTCTCGGTATAAACTTTGATTAAACATTTATTTTAGTGCACCTTGCTGCAGATGGAAAGTCAAACAGCCGCCGAGATGCTTTGGGAGTGAGTCGGGATGGCAGTTATGGACTTACGGAACGCTGCAGTGTAAATCCATACGGCCCTGGGGCTTGGGCTGTTTTTGGATTCAGTTTCTGCTCTAATGACACTTTGGGCAGAAGGATCCGAATCAGAGAACGGACCAGCGTGAGGAATGAAAACATCTATTCATCATGGCGGGCCCTGGAGGGAGGAGGGTGTACCTGTGGGCTCTCAGGGAACTGCAGAATAGACCTGTTATTATTAAACACATTAAAGAAACAAAAGAATGAAACGATTGTCGGAATAGAGTGTGTTTATAAAGGGGACACAGCCTGTTTTCTATAATATCTATGATAAATTACTGTAAAAATCTCACTGAGGTTTCTCGCATTTCTCCCACTGGGTTTTTAGAGTTATTTTTTACCGATGCAGGTCTAGGTCTAAGGACAGTGGTGATGATCCAGGACATTTATTAACATGTCCAAACATTTATAGGCATTGGTCATCCGCCCCTTATGGATCAATACCCCTATGTATGTGTTATCATTGCATTTCCTGTATTTGAACAGTTTGATTCTCTGATCTGTGTTGGCGAATTGACAACTTTGTGAAATCCTCTCTGAGCTATAACAACTGTTGTGATTTAGGACGATACAAAAATACATTCAATTGAATGTCTTGCGTAACTGTCTCACTGCAGACCTGTGCAAATATCTGGCCTGTGTCCAGACCCACTGCCCATTCCACCTGAGCTCCGCTAGGGGGGGCACTTCCACTGGGACTGCCCCATCCATCTGCGTCCTATTTCTCACTGTCCAGTCGATACAGCGATTACACTTCTCACTTGGATGTATTTTTGCAATCATTTCTGGCTCGTTTTGTTCCTTTCATGTCCGCCCCCGGTGTAGACCCCCGCCCCCTCCCCTCGCCCCCTCCCCCTCCTCCCCCCGCCCCGCTGCAGACAGGCCCCTCTCTGGTGTGTGTTTCATCTAATTCTCTTAAATTAGAGCTATTTCACTGTCAGGAGGCTAATGAGGCTAATTAATTTATGGGCCCACCTGGAGCAGACAGATCCGACCCGGAGCCGAGCACCTACAGTATCTGATGAAGGCGAGAAAATAAACAGCTTATGATTATATTTGTTCAGATTGGGAGGACATGAGGGATAGATCAATACATGGATCTGGAGGAGATCTGGGAGACTGTGGTTTGTGTTGAAAGGCGGCGGGAAATTAATGATACAGAAAAACACAGGCTTAGATTAGAAACACATTTTGTTGATGAATGTATAGTTTCTATATTTACAGTAGATCTGAAAACATGGGGTCGGCCAAACTCGGAAGCTCTGTGTTTTCAGTATGACGCTTCATCGACTAGCACTGCTAAAATACATTAGTCCTGGTCTCAGGTCTGTGTCCTGAAGTCCTCTCACATTAGTCCTGGTCTCAGGTCTGTGTCCTGAAGTCCTCTCACATTAGTCCTGGTCTCAGGTCTCTGTCCTGAAGTCCTCTCACAGTAGTCCTGGTCTCAGGTCTCTGTCCTGAAGTCCTCTCACATTAGTCCAGGTCTCTGTCCTGAAGTCCTCTCACAGTAGTCCTGGTCTCAGGTCTCTATCCTGAAGTCCTCTCACAGTAGTCCTGGTCTCAGGTCTCTGTCCTGAAGTCCTCTCACATTAGTCCTGGTCTCAGGTCTCTGTCCTGAAGTCCTCTCACATTAGTCCTGGTCTCAGGTCTCCGTCCTGAAGTCCTCTCACATTAGTCCTGGTCTCAGGTCTCTGTCCTGAAGTCTTCTCACATTAGTCCTGGTCTCAGTCTCTGTCCTGAAGTCCTCTCACATTAGTCCTGGTATCAGGTCCCTGTCCTGCAGTCCTCTCACAGTAGTCCTGGTCTCAGGTCTCTGTCCTGAAGTCCTCTCACAGTAGTCCTGGTCTCAGGTGGTTTTACATCTGTGACATGTTAGATCCATATGAACCAACTCAGAGCAGCGCGCTGAGCCTCTTGATGGAACCCAGACCAGGACTAAACACGGAGACGCTGCATTTCACATCTGGAACAGTCTTCCTGAACATGTGAGACATGCCTCTCCTCCTGGTTCAGTGTCTACAACTGGTACCACTCTTCTTGTTTGCATGTTTACAGAACAAACTGTTTTTCTCTATAAGAATAAGATAAACCTTTATGATGCATGAGGAGCATGTTTGTCCCTGAAAGTCACTATTTTACACTTTAGGCTGAGATCAAACTGAAAGAAATTTGACGACATAGTGCTATTTTCTGTGATTCTTAAAAAATCTGTACCAACATTTCTTAAATGCAGCTACACACATTATTTATTTTGTGGCAGTCAGTGAACTATGTGTTGTGTCTTAAAACAAACCAAGTAAATAAAGTATAATCTGTATTACACGTTATGTTAATAATACGTGTATTATATAATAATAATATAATAATAATACGTAAATGTTAAAATAATCTAAATGATTTGTTATGCACAGAAAGGGTCTCAAACTTAATGTGTCTGGAGCCGCATGAGTCTGCGTGAAGCTGGACACATTCAGGGTTATGTTTATCATGTGTTTGTGTGTGTGCAGAATATATGAAAATCAGAGAAAAATGATCTATAGACATTCTCTTTTCAATATTTAACATCAACAGTAAATAAAAGGAAATTAGTGCTTGTAGCAGAGACAAAAACAGGAAAACCAAGAATCATCCGGTTTTTTGGTAAGTTTTTATACCATTTAATACCAATTTTGGACACTCAAATTTCAGAAGGTGTTTTGACCAAAAAATGACTTATTTTGTTTATGATTTTGATATAATAGAATATATTCCTATGAACAAAATTAGTCCAGCTGCTGAAACTGAAACAAAACTGGACACAAAACAATGAGGCTTTGTATTGCAGACAGGGTTTTTATTTAGTTTACTCACTTACTTGACAATTGTTTCTTAATGCATTCAGAGTTCAATGTTTATTTTTATTTTTTCTTGATAAAACAAGCTTTAAAACGATGCAGAACATATTTGCTCAGACTCTCAGTGGAAACCGCACTGACATCACAGTTCGATGTCCAATATGGGCCGGGCCAAAGCTTATCGGGGACCGCAAATGGTCCGTGGGCCGCGTGTTTGCGACCCCTGACGTGCGCAATAACACACCAGCAATGTCACTTTTGTGTTGTGTTTTTGTCGCCATTAAAACGACAAACAGGGTTTTTCTAAATGCAAAGTGAGGCAAAGGATTCCCATGTTTCCTGAACCCGAAACACATCAAACAGCCGTCAATATGATGCAATGATGAATGAGTCAGGCGTTGTTTATTTGTGGTAATCAGGCAGCAGCAGCAGCAGCAGCAGCAGCAGCAGCAGCAGCAGCAGCAGCAGAACATGACACGTCTAAATACAGTTTGAAGAAAGGCTTTTGCTCCCTGAACCGGATTTACAAGATTTATAAATGCCACACAAAAATCACATTGTGGCAAATCTTACAGTCATATTCCATGTTCAGCGTTCGCATAATGGATTTTGTAGAATAAATAAAGGTAAGTGAGGCGTAAGGGAAAGGGGGGAGGAGGGGTGAGGAGGGGGGAGGAGGGGTGAGGGGCAGACAGACTCATGCAACACATTGTTCTTGTTTTCACAGACCATAGCAATTTGTTTGACTCTGCAGCTTTCGGAGGCGAGCGCAATCTCTGCATCTGTGGCTAAAAACGGGACCGCGGCGAACACGGCTGGCTTTGCTAACGGGGGCTGCGTGTTTGGGCGGAGAGCCGTAATGTCAAACTTCCACAACAGTAAACGTTCGGAGAAGTTTATGCGGTTCGAGTCAAGACAAGCGGAGAGAATACAGGCGAAAACCCAGGCCCAATATTATTGCTGCGATCTGATATCCGCAGCCATCAGGAGTTATTTAGAAAAAGTACAGTTTAGTTTATTGGATCTTATTTGTTCGTGGGGAGCAGACGGAAGGGGCACATACGACTTAACTTTATAAACCTCCAATCCAACATGAGATTTATGAACAGGAACAGCGAAGAAAATCAGCTTTTGGAGTCCGTCTACACAGAAGGTGCCTCTTTAGTGGAGTTGTCAAAACCGTAGTCTGGTGTGTTTTGGGATTTCTGATCCGGCAAAAAGACAAAAGTCCAGCCGGATAACTTCTGTTCTGAATTAATCTTCATTAGTTTTTATAATGCTGCCATCTGAGTTTTTTACAGGTCTCGCTTAAAATAGCAATATGTACAATTTTCATGTCAAGTCATCATTAAAGGGCCCTAATCTGTAAAAAGACATTCATAAAACTGCTCTTTCCCAATACTTCTTTAACTGAAAACAGTAGTTCAGAGATGTTTGAATTTCTAAATTACTTTTACAGCCTCTAAATCTTGTTATCGTTTTCCTTTCGATGTCCCGCCCTCCACCTGTTCCCAGAGGTTGAGTGTCTTGCCAAGGACACAATGATAGCAGAGGAAGTCAGTGAGAAAATATTGTGGTGGGCTCGAACCCACAACCTTCAGGCTTAAATGCCAATGCTTTACCAACTGAGCCACTGTCGCCACCTTAGATGTGAGCTGATCCCACTAATAAATCTTGTTTAAGGACAGTCATAATGTGCTAAAATTACTATAACTTTTGACTTATTCCTGTGGCTCAGAAAAGAGACTTTAAAGTAGCTCTCTCCATGCACCTAAGTACATCTGTGAAAGGGACTGGCCTCCTGCTGGGACTCTGAGGAGCACAGGGACTGGCCTCCTGCTGGGACTCTGAGGAGCACAGGGACTGGCCTCCTGCTGGGACTCTGAGGAGCACAGGGACTGGCCTCCTGCTGGGACTCTGAGGAGCACAGGGACTGGCCTCCTGCTGGGACTCTGAGGAGCACAGGGACTGGCCTCCTGCTGGGACTCTGAGGAGCACAGGGACTGGCCTTCTGCTGGGACTCTGAGGAGCACAGGGACTGACATCCTGCTGGGACTCTGAGGAGCACAGGGACTGGCCTCCTGCTGGGACTCTGAGGAGCACAGGGACTGGCCTCCTGCTGGTGTCAGAGTCAGGACTAAACATGAGGAGGAAGCATTTAAGAGTCAAGCAGGTAAAATCTGGAACAGTCTTCCTGAAAATGCGAGACAGGCTTCTTCTCTGAAAGTATTCTATCTTGTTCTGAGTTGCTTTTTGTATGAACTGTGCTATACAAATAAACTTGCCTTTTTTGCTAGTCTCATTGGCAAATCGTGTTTCCGGACAGTCACAATGTGCTCAAATTAAGATACATTTCTGCCTAATTCAAATTCATTTTCTCTCACTGTTTGCATGAGGCCTAAACACACCGATCTCCTTACTGTCACAACACTTCTGCCTTCACATTTCCACTCCCGCCGTCAGACGCTCCGGCTCGGACTCCGCGGTTTCGCAGTGGCACCGGCAGCTCTTGATTGGCGCCTGCTCCATGGAACCACTGGACCCGCCTCCATCGTCACCACGGCAACCGGCCCTCAGAATGGACATGGACAGGCAACTTTTCCAACATTATGACTGGCCACGAGGCACGAGGTCGAAGGAAAAAACTGTTGACTCGAGAAAGAAAAACAAGGTGCTAATGTTGATTGTCTGAAATGCTCACCTGAAGGGAAGGCTCGTGAGAAAAGTCCATGGAAAGAGTTTAATGTATGGGTTTTGTGCCGCCACATAATATCCATAATGTCCAGTGTGCGAGCGTGACAACATCTTGGCAAATGGCCGTCGTGCAAAACTAGCTTACATCACCGGACTGTCCATCACTCCCAAACGGCTCTATTAGCAGTGGCTGGTGCGGAGAGACCGGTGACACTGACATCACTCGCTTCAATTGGGATCCCTGGACAAAAGCCCTGAGTCCGGTCGGTGCCCAGGAGCCCAGCGGCCGAGGAGAGAAAGAAAAAAAACGGATTTGTTTTTCTGGTGCGTCAGTCGCGGTGCAGCATCAGCAGAAACAAGCGCAAAAAAACAAAAACACATGATGGAGAGCGGGGTGTTTTGTGCGTAAAGTGCAAAGTTTTCCGTCCCGTTTGAAACACAGACGGGTCGGAGACTGATGAGGCCATTACAGACGCACACAAACAGTTGACACACAAAAAGCAAAAGCTAAATCAGTCATATGTGCTGTGGCAGAACGGGGCCAAACTGTTGTGATGAAGGAGGTGTCAAGGTTTGTGTTCGTAGAGAAAGGTGGACTTTGTCATCGTGTTTTTGTAAATAAAATTCAAAGTACCAAGAGGAATTGTCAGATTGCTTTGGAGAAGGACACGGCAGTTTCTTCTGCGAATCATCTCAGATTTTCAAAGCTACGTTTCATGCTTAACCGGACATTGGTTTTGTTTCATAAATACAATATTTCATCTCAAGGGGTTATTCCTCTTAATAAACGTTAATAATATACATAGCTCAATTCAATCCAATTCAAAAGTAAATATTTCTGACGACTTTAGAGAGCTGTTGATTCGCCAACACAGATCAGAGAATCAAACCGTTCAAACACACTGCAAAATATAAAAAAAAGAGGTGATAAATGCTTGAATCATGTGATTTTCATCTTAATGTGAGTTCCGAGTTCATTCCAGGCAGACATTTCTTTTATCATTTTGACACAAGATAATTTTGCTTCGTCCCATCTGCAAATCTGGTTTTAAGGGAGTCAGAATGTCTTCAAATTAGGATACATCTTGCCAAATTTGAGCATTTTTTAATGTATCTACAGCATTAAATACGATTTGTTTTTCTGGTGCGTGCAATGATAAAAATGTGCAATGATTTTTTTTGTGCAATGATAAAAATGTTGATTAATGTCGATAAAGTCCACAAATGTTTTTGAATGTTGAGTGTCCTGGATCATCACCACAGTCCTCAGACCATCAGCAAGAAACAACTCTAAAGACCCAGTGGGAGAAAAGTGAGAAACCTCTGAGAGGCCTGTGTTGAGGGAGAGACTGATGCCGTAGACCAAGGACTGAGGTTGTAGACCCAGGACTGAGGCTGTAGACCCAGGACTGAGGCTGTAGATCCAGGACTGAGGCTGTAGATCCAGGACTGAGGCTGTAGATCCAGGACTGAGCTGTAGATCCAGGACCGAGGCTGTAGAACGAGACCTCAGGCTGCTGAACCAGGACTGAGGCTGTAGAAGGAGGACCAAGACCATGCGAGGCAGGACTGATTGTTTCAGAAAATAATTCAGATTAACCCATATTATTTGTCCTGGTATTTCCAAATTCAACCACTAAGTCTCAAGTCCGTCGTAGTTTGCCATGTTTTAGTTTGGCACAAGTGAAATAAAATCAGAGAAAATGGCCCAATTTGCCCATCTCTAATCCCTGCATTATTGTGGTGGACTCTTCTTCTTCTGCCTGACAGATATCTGGCGTAGAGTCTGCAGCTTCCTGTAAGTGTCTTTGTTTGACCACCACTGTCTCCCGCCTGAAAAACTCTCCCAACAGCCACTAATAACCTCTCCATTATCCTTCTGTCCATCTCACTTTTTCCCCTGGAAGTTTTTATGGCAGCGTTTAATCACTGTACGATCTGAGGACCAGTACTTATGCAATTGCTCATAAATCTTCAGCTGACATTGTGTCGGGTGTGGCTGGAATTAATTTGACAAAACTAAATGCTCTTGGATATTACAGTTGCAAGTTTTATTGAACGAATGAGCGGTTTCTGGAAAATGGTGTTAATAATTACTAACATTTTGTCCAAACTTGGTGTTCTTGCGACAGAGGGCACATGTGTGTGAAGGCACTCACCTCTGGGCTCTCTGATCCTCAAATGGAAGCGTTTACATTTTATTGGCTGCTTTCTTTGACAACATGGTAATTTCAGTGGCCTAAGAAAATAGCTGACCAATTGCTGATAATTGTTAAGATGGCAGGCGCGATGGGTGAGGGGTCAGAGGTCACGCTGACAGGCTGCTAACCAGCTGTGGGTGGGTCAACACGCATTAGGCTGGACGGGTGGTCAGTGAAAACAGAACTTTACCTTCTGAGCGTCGACAAAGCAGCGTGAGAGAGCAGCTGAGGTGATGTCACAAAACAACTTTAACAAATGTAATATTCATAATTATAATATAAATGGTTGCCCTGCATAGCTTCAGCAGTTTCTGGGATCTGGCTTTTACCTGCAGGTCTGACCATATTCAGACCATAGCCTACTCTCTTTGTCTTTTAAGAAAACATGTTGATTTGTTGAGAGCTGATTGGCTGAGAGAAGAGACATCTATCGACATGTATGGACTTTTATGGAATGTTCTCGTATGTTGCGTGTCCTGGATCATCTGCACTGTCCTTAGACCCTCCTGTATCGGCAATAAAGAACTCTAAAAACCCAGTGGGAGAAAAGTGAGACATTTTTGGGAGACCCATATCGAGGGAGGGATCCGCTCTGACGGACAGGCTGCTGATCCTGGACTCAGGCTAAGGAGGACCAAGGCCACGCGGCGCAGGACTGAGGCGGCTCCCAGATAGGGAGGCGGTGCAGCCCTAGAGTCCAGGCCAGGGAGGTCCGCAGGTGCAGATGGTGGAGGTCGAATTCAGGGGTCCCATTATCACGCCATGGAACAGCGGGTGAATAGCAATGAAACGACTACAACTGAAGAAGAGAGTACAGTGATGAAGCTACCATTCTCTCCCAGCAAAGTGACTTCATATGCAGCTTGACTGACAATCTGTGTTTTATAGTCTTAAAGAACGACTAAACACCTGTGCCACATCACACACACCAACTGACGTCACACACACCAACTGACGTCACACACACCAACTGACGTCACACACAACAACTGACGTCACACACACCAACTGACGTCACACACAACAACTGACGTCACACACACCAACTGACGTCACACACACCAACTGACGTCACACACACCAACTGACGTCACACACACCAACTGACGTCACACACACCAACTGACGTCACACACACCAACTGACGTCATACACACACCAACTGACGTCACACACACCAACTGACGTCACACACACCAACTGATGTCACACACACCAACTGACGTCAGTTCACCAACTGACGTCACACACACCAACTGACGTCACACACACCAACTGACGTCACACATACCAACAGACGTCACACACACCAACTGACGTCACACATACCAACTGACGTCACACACACCAACTGACGTCACACACACACCAACTGACGTCACACACACACCAACTGATGTCACACACACCAACTGACGTCACACACACCAACTGACGTCACACACACCAACTGACATCACACACACACCAACTGACGTCACACACACCAACTGACGTCGCACATACAACTGACGTCACACACACCAATGGACGTCACACACACCAACTGACGTCACACATACAAACTGACGTCATGCACACCAACTGAAGTCACACACACCAACTGACGTCACACATACCAACTGACGTCACACATACCAACTGACGTCACACACACCAACTGACGTCACACACACCAACTGACGTCACACACACCAACTGACGTCACCCACACACCAACTGACGTCACGCACAAACTGACGTCACGCACACCAACTGACGTCACACACAAACTGAAGTTACACACACCAACTGACGTCACACACACCAACTGACATCACACACACCAACTGACGTCACAAACACTGACTGACGTCACACACACACCAACTGACGTAACACACAAACTGACGTAACACACAAACTGACGTAACACACAAACTGACGTCACACACACCAACTGACGTCACACACACCAACTGACGTAACACACAAACTGACGTCACACACACAAACTGACGTAACACACAAACTGACGTCACACACACCAACTGACGTCACACACAAACTGACGTCACACACACCAACTGACGTCACACACAAACTGACGTCACACACACCAACTGACGTCAGACACAAACTGACGTCACACACACCAACTGACGTCACCCACACACCAACTGACGTCACACACCAACTGACGTCACACACAAACTGACGTCACACAAACAAACTGACATCACACAGTACTCCAGAGCCAATGAGAGGTCAGGACCAAAATTCAAATGTAGTGCCACCAAAAAGGTAGAGAGGGCGCCACACAGACGGCTTTAGGCTTAAAAGGGAGATTTTATCTAATTTGCACTAATATGTCAAAAGAAAAAAACACTAGACTATAAGAAACATATTTATGTAGTTTATGCATTAAAAAAAGTTGATTTGGTGTTTCGTTGTCCTTTAAAGTGACGTCACACACAAACTGAAGTTACACACACCAACTGACGTCACACACACCAACTGACATCACACACACCAACTGACGTCACAAACACCAACTGACGTCACACACACACCAACTGACGTAACACACAAACTGACGTAACACACAAACTGACGTAACACACAAACTGACGTCACACACACCAACTGACGTCACACACACCAACTGACGTCACACACACCAACTGACGTCACCCACACACCAACTGACGTCACACACAAACTGACGTCACACAAACAAACTGACATCACACAGTACTCCAGAGCCAATGAGAGGCCAGGACCAAAATTCAAATGTAGTGCCACCAAAAAGGTAGAGAGGGCACCAAACAGACGGCTTTAGGCTTAAAAGTGAGATTTTATCTAATTTGCACTAATATGTCAAAAGAAAAAAACACTACACTATAAGAAACATATTTATGTAGTTTATGCATTAAAAAAAAGTTGATTTGGTGTTTCGTTGTCCTTTAAAGTTGTATTTCTACGACTATGTGCTGTATTAAAGACTACTGTTGGCCTTCAATGTAGAGACCGTGTCTGCCTCCTGGACGTGGATGGGGAGCTGATTTCACCGTGTGGAGCGCGGTAGCTAATCCCTCGGACTGTGCTAAACAACTTGCGTGTCCAGGTGGCAAGTTTCAGCGGCAACATAATAATAACTCTGGACAATGAGGCCTCAGCGCACTCAAGAGGTTTTCCACCCGGACCATCTCATTATCATCTCTGTTTGCTGTGGAATATAGAAACTCTACATTTTCTCCTTTGCTATTTGCCCGTCAGTCATGTGCGGCAGCGTGGACGTAGATTGATCCACGGGGTGTAATCAGGGTTTTGATTTTCCCCTGATGGTTTGGTGAAATGATGTGGCCGTGGTGAGTGACAGCTAAATGCCCGGGTCTGTGTGCGCCTGGCTCCGGCCGTGTGGTTAAACTGCTTAATGCCACGGCACGTCTGTCGCTGTCGTGTGCTTGGCAGCAGCCGCGTCAGCTAGCGAACGCCAAACCTGGACCCGACGCCACACAGCAGTTTCTCGGCTTTCACAATCACCCATTTCCCATTACAAGCGCCGGCAAGGAACATTTGGTTTTGGGTTAAAGGACTCCATTAAGTTGTTTGTTGTGTTACGTTTTGCAATAACAGATCACACACTGTACCTGTTTGCAGTTGTGGTTCACCACCGCCACCACAACCACGTAGACCCTCACCATGCACTGCAGTTCAACCTAGAAAATTTAAGAAAATGAAGAAAAACACTAACAAATTCAGTGAAAATATCAGATAGCGGCACTAGTAAAAATGTTGGTTAGCTTAAAAACTAATGGCCAAACCTGCGGGAGAAAGCTAAATCCTGTCAGACCTCCAAAGCCAAGCAGGGCAGGACCTGGTTTGTGTAGTGATGGGAGACCTCTGGGATCACCAGGGGCCACAGATTCATGGATTAAGATTTTATTTGCCATTTGCAGTAAAACCACATTGGAAAAACTGTGCAAGACTTCACCCGAGGAGCTCCAGACAAGACAGCCCACACCAGAGTTCTTGCCAGTGGGGCGGCTGCGGCTGTAAGTTGCCAAACTGTGGTTGTGTCCTTAGGCAAGAAACTTCACCCACATTAGAATGACTCTGGTGTGTGTGTGTGATTGTTGGTGGTGGTGGGAGGGGCTGATGGCACAGACTTGTTGCCTCGATTCTGTCAGTGTGCCCCAGGGCAGCTGTAGCTACAGTAATAGTTTAATTAGTATTGTGTTTGGAGTGAAATAATAATTGTTATTATTATTATTATTATTATTATAGGCAGACACTTTCTTTTACAAATAACAAAGTTTGCTCCAGGAAACTAATTGCATCAGTGTATAGAAGCTAGTCCTTCGTCAGAGGAGAAAAACGATGGTGTGACGGGTTTCTGGATTCAGTCAGTCCGACAGATCGATCTTTGGCCATGTCTTTTCCCATATCAATTACTTTCATTGTTTATGCGTTCATGCGTTATTTACAACTTCAACTTGAACTTTATGAACCAATTTGTGTAATAACTCATCTCATGTGCCTTCATGGTCTTTATAACTTACATACTTTATTTCTATGTCATTATTTTTGTTATCTAATTATCTTTTACTCGGAAATGTGAGTGGTTCCTTTAATATCAAATGTGAGTTACCATAGCAACACACTGTTTACTGTCAGAAGCTAGCGTTAGCCTTTTTCTTTTTGCTGTACTTCAGTTGCAGTTATATGGACCAGTTTTAGCACTTAATAAAATTCTTATAGATGACTGTCTTTAAATGATTCTGGTGAAAAACATTCTTTGTGGGTATTTCTCTGGAGTTCTCATAGTTTCAGAACTCTAGGAGGCCTTGTGTTAAAAGAGTGTCCATAACCGACAGCGGCACTGCGTCAAGACTTTAATAAAGCATCATATCTGCTTCATGAGCTCTGTCAAATGTCCGTGTTCAGCCCCTCCAGTCCCAAACCCACACAGACACGCCGCCGTTTGGCATTTACCCTGAAGTCTGGGTTCCTTAAGGACTGTCTCGGTCCAGACTCTCAGCCCCAGTGGCTCCAATGCTTCCAGGTTCATGTCAGGACCTGGCCCCGCCCTGGGTCTCTCTGGGTCTGCTGTACGGGGACAGTCCAGTTCACTGCAGAGGCGCCCGGTGGGAGAACACAGCGGCAGCAATGGATTCTCTCAAAATCACTCTCAAATGACCATGCACGGAGAAAAACAAAGTTGATACCGCAACGAAAGCTGGTTGTTCCATTGGATTATTGGAAATTGTGTCAAAAAAATGTATTTTCAAATGTAGATTGCATTTTTTTGGATTCTTCTTTAGATTATCCCTCACTAAACAACAGCTAATTATGTTTCAATAAGTGTATCCTAACCCTAACCCACTGGGCAAATGTCCAATCCAATCCAATCCACTTTATTTATATAGCACATTTCATAAACACACAGTTTCCAAAGTGCTATACAACATGCAAAATGGCTACAAATAAATACACACATTTATATTAAAACATAATAATAATAAAAAAATCAAAACAGAAACACAGAGGACCAGAGGACTCACGCGGTGTTTAAAGCCAGAGAATAAAAGTGGGTCTTAAGACGAGACTTAAAATATTCCAACGAGGGAGCTGTTTTGATGTGGGGGGGGGGGGGCAGAGCGTTCCAGAGCTTTGGTCCAGCCACAGAGAAGGCCCTGTCCCCCGGGTTTTAAGTCTTGTCCTAGGCACCACGAGCTGGAGCTGGCTCTCGGACCAATGTCAGTTGGTAGTTCATGGGTCTCTGTCATGAGGGTAGTTTGGTGTTCCTCCTTCCTCCTCTGTCTCCTCCTCCTTCCTCCTCTGTCTTCTCCTCCTTCCTCCTCTGTCTTCTCCTCCTTCCTCCTCTGTCTTCTCCTCCTTCCGGGCGGCACGGTGGCTGAGTGGATAGCACTCTCGCCTCTCAGCAAGAAGGTCCTGGGTTCGAATCCCGGTCGGACCAGGGCCTTTCTGAGTGGAGTTTGCATGTTCTCCCCGTGTCTGCGTAGGTTTCCTCCGGGTACTCCGGTTTCCCCTACCATTAAAAATATGTCCAATAGTTCTGGCATGCGCCTCCTGTACTGGTGACCCTGCTCCCATCTCTGTGGTGAGTGAGAGACAAATGCCCATAATTAACAATTGTAAACCGCTTTGAGACTCAGATCTGCAGTGAAAAGGCGGTATATAAATAAAAACTTACTTACTACTTACTTACTACTTCCTCCTCGGTCTCCTCCTTCCTCCTGTCTCCTCCTCCTTCCTCCTCTGTCTTCTACTTCCTCCTCTGTCTTCTCCTCCTTCCTCCTCTGTCTCCTCCTCCTTCCTCCTCTGTCTCCTCCTTCCTCCTCTGTCTTCTCCTCCTTCCTCCTCTGTCTCCTCCTTTCTACTCTGTCTCCTCCTTCCTCCTCTGTCTTCTCCTCCTTCCTCCTCTGTCTCCTCCTTCCTCCTCTGTCTTCTCCTCCTTCCTCCTCTGTCTCCTCCTTCCTCCTCTGTCTCCTCCTTCCTCCTCTGTCTTCTCCTCCTTCCTCCTCTGTCTCCTCCTCCTTCCTCCTCTGTCTCCTTCCTCCTCTGTCTCCTCCTTCCTCCTCTGTCTTCTCCTCCTTCCTCCTCTGTCTCCTCCTCCTTCCTCCTCTGTCTCCTCCTTCCTCCTCTGTCTTCTCCTCCTTCCTCCTCTGTCTCCTCCTCCTTCCTCCTCTGTCTCCTCCTTCCTCCTCTGTCTTCTCCTCCTTCCTCCTCTGTGGCCTCCTTCCTCCTCTGTCTCCTCCTTCCTCCTCTGTCTCCTCCTTCCTCCTCTGTCTTCTCCTCCTTCCTCCTCTGTCTCCTCCTCCTTCCTCCTCTGTCTCCTCCTTCCTCCTCTGTCTTCTCCTCCTTCCTCCTCTGTCTCCTCCTCTTTCCTCCTCTGTCTCCTCCTTCCTCCTCTGTCTCCTCCTCCTTCCTCCTCTGTCTCCTCCTTCCTCCTCTGTCTCCTCCTGCCTCCTCTGTCTCCTCCTGCCTCCTCTGTCTCCTCCTTCCTCCTCTGTCTCCTCCTCCCCTTGTGTTTGATCAGGTTTTGTATGTCCTCAGGTGGAAGACCAGTTTGCCCTCATTTCGTTCCTGGAGCTTGTTTGGACTCAGTTTTTTTGTTAAAACTCTTTCCTTGGATCTGCATTTGGAGTAAATTAGTTCTACTTTTTGAACTAATACATTCTGATGGATTGTATTATGAGTAACAACAAAATATGCTCGATAAAAGACTCGCCAATGAAACGTGAAATACAGATATCTGTGCTGGAAATACGACTAAAGCGGGTTGTTCCATTGTTTTAATAAATGTTTTAAGTTCAAGATTAAATCCAAAGTAGCACTACATTTAATCGAGTGTCTAGAACGAGCAGCTCTCTGCCTTTTATGTCCTGAAACAGTAGCTCTCCAAGGAAAAGGACTCTTCTCTTCCTGCCTCTGCTTTGTGTCTCTAGACCAGGACCAACGGACCAGGACCAACGGACCAGGACCAACGGACCAGGACCAACGGACCAGGACCAACGGACCAGGACCAACAGGCCAGGACCAACAGGCCAGGACCAACAGACCAGGACCAACAGACCAGGACCAACAGGCAACAGACCAGGACCAACAGGCCAGGACCAGCAGGCCAGGACCAACAGGCCAGGACCAACAGACCAGGACCAACAGACCAGGACCAACAGGCAACAGACCAGGACCAACAGGCCAGGACCAGCAGGCCAGGACCAACAGGCCAGGACCAACAGGCCAGGACCAGCAGGCCAGGACCAACAGACCAGGACCAACAGACCAGGACCAACAGGCAACAGACCAGGACCAACAGACCAGGACCAACAGACCAGGACCAACAGGCCAGGATCAACAGACCAGGACCAACAGACCAGGACCAACAGACCAGGACCAACAGGCCAGGACCAACAGACCAGGACCAACAGACCAGGACCAACAGGCCAGGACCAACAGGCCAGGACCAACAGACCAGGACCAACAAACCGGGACCAACAGATCAGGACCAACAGGCCAGGACCAACAGACCGGGACCAACAAACCGGGACCAACAGGCCAGGACCAACAGACCAGGACCAACAGACCAGGACCAACAGACCAGGACCAACAGACCAAGAACAGTCACCCTCTCTCACAACAGATGCACTTTAAGTAATGTATTATAATGTATTCATAAACACGCTAGAGCAGCTTTTACAGGCTCACATTTATGCAAATATATTTATGTGTGTTGTAAACATGTTCCTAGACTTAGAGATATTGCGCTAATGGTTCGATTCTAAACCGGATGTCGTTGCATTGCTCTGACTTTGTAATGTCAATAAAGTGGAATCTGATCTAAAAAGAAAAAGGTTTGGAGACTCCTGTAGTAGTTGAATAAGGCCATGGAGAATAAGGACCAATAAGTGCTTAATGAATACCAATTCATAGCTAATGAACCATGCATTAATCACGTATTAGCTGTTAATTAGTGATGGCTAAAATACAGTAAAGTACAAAAAGATAGAAAGTAGATAAAGTAAACGTTGAGACAGAAATCAAACCCAGAAATGAAATGTGTTACTTAATATCACAACATTGCTATCAGAATTGAAACACACTTTATCAGTCACGTATCTGACCAAACCTTACAGTACGCTTTTATGGAACGGGACCATTTTCCCCCGTTTAAAACAAAAGTATTGCCTCAAAATGCCCATATTTCGGACAGTTTCTCCAGTGAAGTTTTCTCAGTACAGTAGAGAGAGTGTTCCAGCGCAGCCCACGGTTCCAGATACAGGTTTAGTCTCCGCGGTTAGTCACGGCCTGAGTCACCTTGCTGACTTTGGAAGCTGCTCGTGTCTTGACCACTGCTGCTGGCGATCCCTCTGCCGATGATAAATGCAAAGTCACGGTGTGTAACATGCAACCCCAAACTACCGAGCCTGGGAAAGCTTTCATTCAATGTATATCTAGTTTGACGCCAAGAAAATTCATTAGCTACTAGCGTTGGGAGTGAGTCATCCGTGGGTTTGGCCAAATCTGTGACAGTATCCACGTTACGGGAGGCGAATGTTTGCCGGAGTTCACTTGACATGTTGTAATATTTGGAGAGCTGAGATGGGAACAATAATGTGAGAAGTAGCAGCCGTTGACATGTTGTAGCTAACAAAGCCAGCGAGGCTTATGGTGGGAGTGCAGGGCAAAATGTCCCCGAAGGAACAATATTTTAGTGAACTTCCAACTTCCCCACCTCCATGAGTCAGAGCGGGTCGTAGCCCCCACCTGAGGGAGGGCTGCACATGTCAAACAAACACTTAGCATCTCAAACTGCACCGTTTCCATCTGATTCACAGCCTCAACAAATATCACATGATGAGTAAACATGAGAGTATTCCAGTTGCTATGGCAGTTCATCCATCGTCTTCTTCTTCTCCACAGGGAAGTGTCCTGGAGGCATCCCAAGCATAGGCTCAAGCCACCTCAACAAGTTTCTCTTGATGTGGAGAAGCAGCGGCTCTACTCAGAGCTCCTCTTGTGGGGCCGAGCTCTAATGTTTCAATGACTGGACTAGTGTTGTTCATACAGAGCTGTTTAGCACAAGCCTGGACTAGTGTTGTTCATACAGAGCTGTTTAGCACGAGCCTGGACTAGTGTTGTTCATACAGAGCTGTTTAGCACGAGCCTGGTCTAGTGTTGTTCATACAGAGCTGTTTAGCACAAGCCTGGACTAGTGTTGTTCATACAGAGCTGTTTAGCACGAGCCTGGACTAGTGTTGTTCATACAGAGCTGTTTAGCACGAGCCTGGTCTAGTGTTGTTCATACAGAGCTGTTTGGCACGAGCCTGGTCTAGTGTTGTTCATACAGAGCTGTTTGGCACGAGCCTGGTCTAGTGTTGTTCATACAGAGCTGTTTGGCACGAGCCTGGTCTAGTGTTGTTCATACAGAGCTGTTTGGCACGAGCCTGGTCTTACCACACCATCCTACTCATTCCATACTAAAGTCTGGATTTGCTCCATTGATCTCCATTGAGCTCCTTCGGGAGGGGTTCACTCCTTTTGAAGATCTGAGTTTACCATGACCGAGTAAGTGAGTCATTTTGCATTTAGCCTAGCTTTAGCATTTAGCCTAGCTTTAGCCATCTCCTTTAACACTAACGGAGCCCGTGGGGAGTAGAGCCACAACATCTTTGCAGCAATGACATTTACTAAACCTTCCTCTTGCTCCGGCTTCAGTTTCTTGATATTTGGATATCAGGAGGTGATAACTGACCATAGTTCATGGAGGGCAAAGGTCAGGCTAGTGTAGCAGTGTTTCCCACACAAACTGTCCTTTGGGTACACTAAAGTGTATCTTTTCTTTAGCTATCTCAATCTGACGCCCCGGGCATCTCTGCAGAGGAAACTTATTTCGACCACTATTGTCCACGATCAATACTATGATAAAGATAGATCTATAATTTTTGAATGACATTGAAAATATTATAGAACACAGACAATGCTGTTGGGTAACGTTTACTAATAAAGATGTACAGGTTTCACGATGACATCCGTCGCTCCACCACCATCTTTGAACCTCATGGTCGTGGGTTCGATCCCCCCATGTCTCATGTCACCTGCTCCCACCGACTTCTGCTGTCGTTGTGTCCTTGATCTTAACCTCACTTTTCCTAAAGCCTCCGATGAAAGACCAAGGCATGTCTTTGTTGACGGAGAAGTCACCCCCCTCACCCGGAAATGGATTCATAATGGGAATGAAAAAGAATGAATGAATGAAGTGACACAGTTTTACGCAACAAAGAAACAGGAAACCCACGGAAAAAAAAAAAAAAAATCCACTCATGACAGATACAGCACACATGTTTGATTAAATGCAATTGGGAGGGATTTTGTCTTGTTCATGCAGATACTTTATACTTTTCCCGCAGTCTGGCCTCCACCAAAGCCCCACTGTACCGCTTTCAGAATCAGAATCATTTTTATTGCCACATAAGTTACAACTCTTTAATGCCTTTCTGCCAAACATACATCCATAAAGTTCCTCCGCCATTGACAGCCAGAACACAGTCACATAGAGTAAAAGTTTACAGTCCTGGTGTGAACTCAGCTTTACTACACGTTAAATCTGCGCTAGCATAAATGCCGGGGGAGATTGCTTTAGCCCAATTTATAAGAATGATATTTTTATGCTGTGGCTTCTTCCTCTTGAGGTAGGACTTACTGGTAGTGATGTTTTTGCAGCTTTGTTAGCTTAAGTTTAATGTTTCCCTTATTATCCCCGCTGCTTTCACATTGTTCTCTTCGCAGGAACCCTCCTTGTTCGTTTGCGGCTTGTGGACTTTTGAATGTCAATATATCTTTTTGTCATTCGCTGTGGAAACTCTGGGTGCAATCTATCTTTTGCTAATATTAACATAGCGTGAAGCACATACGTTACACAAGGCTCCCGTGTTTAACTTGGTCACTCAGCAAATCCAATTTACATCCAAAATATTGTAAATGTTGAATATGAATTAGCCTGGCACGCAGACGGTGAATCATACGCTGTATTATGTGACACAGGTTGTAGCCGCTGCTCAGTCATTTCAGGGTCTGCAGGGATACAAGCCCAAAGAGGTGGAACTCGAGGACCTGAGGGTGCGTCAGCCTGAGGGGCAAGTACAAGACAGCTCAGCGTTTTTATCAATAAAAACAATAAAAAAGCATCAGTTTTATACAGCGCTTCTCAGGACACTCAAAGACGCTTCACAGGTCATTATAGGTTCACCCCAAACCCAGTGTTGATAAAGTACTTCCACCACCAACCATTCACACACAGACCAGACTCATTCTAATGTGGGGGAGGTGTCTTGCCTAAGGACACAATGACAGTTTGGTGCTCTACAGTCACTTCACTGTAGCTCCGAGTGTTCCCAGGGGTCTCCCATCACAGCACTAACCTGGCCCGGCCTTGCACAGCTTCAGAGGTCTGATAAGATCTGGCTTTCACCTGCAGGTATGGCCTTAGAAGTGAAATGCAGTTGTCGTTGTTGTTTTTTAGGGAATCAGTGAGAAAATAATTAATTGCCACTGTATTGATTACTAATAGAAAATATTAGTAATCAGAGCTGCCACCATTTCCCAAAGCACCGGTCCCTCACTGACCCTCCCCAGCCTTGGTCTTTCATCAGGGGCTTCAGGCGGGGGGTGGGGTTAAGGGTCTTGCCCAAGGTCACAACGGCAGCAGACATCAGTGGGACACATCAACACTCCTTTAATAAACCTCTGGGTAAACACCAGCAGAAACATGAGATGATGGAGTGATGGAGGGAGAGATGGAGGGAGAGATGGAGGGAGAGAGAGAGGGAGGGAGAGATGGAGAGAGAGAGATGGAGAGAGAGATGGAGAGAGAGAGATGGAGAGAGAGAGATGGAGAGAGAGAGATGGAGAGAGAGAGATGGAGAGAGAGAGATGGAGGGAGAGATGGAGAGAGATGGAGAGAGAGATGGAGAGAGAGATGGAGGGAGAGATGGAGAGAGAGATGGAGGGAGAGATGGAGAGAGAGATGGAGAGAGAGAGATGGAGAGAGATGGAGAGAGAGATGGAGGGAGAGATGGAGAGAGATGGAGAGAGAGATGGAGAGAAAGATGGAGAGAGAGATGGAGGGAGAGATGGAGAGAGAGATGGAGAGAGGGAGAAAGGCAGAGGCAGAGGCAGAGGGGGAGAGACATCCACATTCAGAGCACAATAGCTTTACCAGACCACACCATCACAGCTGCTCCAAGCATCAGCCTGAGGATGTGTTTGAGGCTGCAGCCAGAGGGAGAGGCCCCCAGGGCTCCCCCATCCCCACAGTGTGCGAAGATCTGCCTAAACTCATCCAGTCCAATATCGTCTGATAAATTCCAGTCGGATATTGTCCTTAACTCAATGCTTTCTTTTCGTGTTTTTATAACGTTTGCAGAACATTTGTTAAGACAATTATAAAACCATTGTTTGTCTTCAGAGATCAGTCTGATCATATCTGTGCTTCTTTGATCTTGATAAATAAGAAACATCTAAGATTAAGAATATTCTTCCCACAGAAATGTCAGTGTTGCATCAGCAGGTGCAGAACAGAAGGAACAAGGAGCACAGATACTGAAAAACCACTCTACACTAGAATAAAATAACATCAATAACTTTAGCATAATGAAGAAGCAAGTGTTAAATCTATTTCAATCTGGAGAGACCAAGACAGACACGTCGCATTGACCCCGGCAGTGACACTTGCAGAGGGGAGATCACTGACTGCTGAGATGATCTCAGATCCCCCGGGGTCAAGCACTGGAGGTGGCTAGAAGCATGGTGTGAACGGGGCGCAGGCGGAGCAGGAGCCAGAGCAGGAGCCAGAGCAGGAGCCAGGACAGGAGCCAGAGCAGGAGCCAGGACAGAAGCCAGAGCAGGAGCCAGGACAGGAGCCAGAGCAGGAGCCAGAGCAGGAGCCAGAGCAGGAGCCAGGGCAGGAGCCAGAGCAGGAGCCAGTGCAGGAGCCAGAGCAGGAGCCAGAGCAGGAGCCAGGGCAGGAGCCAGTGCAGGAGCCAGAGCAGGAGCCAGGGCAGGAGCCAGAGCAGGAGCCAGTGCAGGAGCCAGAGCAGGAGCCAGGGCAGGAGCCAGAGCAGGAGCCAGTGCAGGAGCCAGAGCAGGAGCCAGAGCAGGAGCCAGGGCAGGAGCCAGTGCAGGAGCCAGAGCAGGAGCACAAGGAGGTGCTGGGGAGGTGGTGGGTGTCAAGAGCTTCAGGAAGGGCTGGTTAGTAGGAAGTGGCTGCTTTTAAACTGCCGGCTTTGCTATCAGTGGTTGGCAGGGGGGCTGGCAGAGCTGTGTGATTGGCTGAAGCTCGAGGCTGGCAGAGCTGTGTGATTGGCTGAAGCTCCAGGCTGGCAGAGCTGTGTGATTGGCTGAGGCTCGAGGCTGGCAGAGCTGTGTGATTGGCTGAAGCTCCAGGCTGGCAGAGCTGTGTGATTGGCTGAAGCTCCAGGCTGGCAGAGCTGTGTGATTGGCTGAGGCTCGAGGCTGGCAGAGGTCTTCACAGTCTGAATTTGGGCCAAAAAACGCATCTGCGCATGCGTCAGCCGGCTCAAGCTCCATTCCAAAAAAATCCACCCCCCTCAGCATTGACACACATGTGGAACGGAGCTTTGGGCCAAGAACCAACTTTTGGTCCATCCTGTAAAGACGTTTTTGAGAGGTCTGCTAATCCATCCATCCATTTTCTACCCTTTAATCCATTTCTGGGTCAGGGGGGTGGCAATCAGAGATGCCACCCAAGTCTCATAGCACCAGCCCCTCACTGACCCTCTGCAGGTGGTGAGTCCACAGGAGGACGGCTGCTCTCTGAGTGTGAGCAGAGCCTTGATCTTTCAGTGGGGGCTTTGGGCAAAGTGGGGTTAAGTGTCTTGCCCAAGGACACAACGACAGCAGTCATCAGTGGGAGTCGGTGGAGAAGGTGTAGAGGTGGGAATTGAACCCACGACCTTCAGGCCTGAAGGCCAATGCTCTACCAACTGAGCTACTGTCGCTCAGTAGCTCAGTCTGCTAATGCTATATGTTAATTCTTCTTCTGAGTCCACCCCCACAGGCCCGGGGTGGTATTGCAGCATGTCAGCGCACGTCATTTTGGCCACTTTTGAGCCAGGACCCGCCTCCACTGGTTAATATATCTGTAATTTCCAAGCAGAAGAGTTTAGTCTGAGCTCCTCTTTCACTCATGTCTTTCCTGTGTCTGTGACAGAACTTTAGGATTCTGTCCTGAACGATCCTTTGGTGAACTTCAGACGTTCATCACATAAAGATGAGTCAGAGGTTCTTCCAAAACAATATTGACAGTTTTCTCGGTGAGTGAAGAGGACACGGCTCAGTGCTCCGTCTCCTCTGTCCCAGTCCAACCATCGTGGGCCTCATTCTGTCCCCGTCCAACCATCGTGGGCCTCATTCTGTCCCAGTCCAACCATCGTGGGCCTCATTCTGTGGGATTCTCTTCTTTTCTCTTCATTTCACTTCAGACTAAACTGTCCTGTCCAAGTACGTCACAGGGATTCTAATCTCAGGAACTTCTGATGGTATGTTTCATTTCTTAGACCATGGTCTAATTAACTCATCGACTGACATTGACAATCAGAATTTGTCTGAGACCCTCTATTTGACTGAGGATTACAGGACAACAAAAAGAGCTAGAAACAAACTTATTTTTGCTGCTGAAAGTAGACAATCCAGTCTTTCAGAATCTGGTTTCACATTTCACATAGTCTCAGGTAATAAAATTCTGTGGGTCTTGAGAATCAGTGAAATCATCAAAAACGGCTGGCAGTCAATGAGTTTTTAACAGCCTTTATGAATTTCATCTCCATCATATAATATTTCATCAGACATTTTCAAAAACTGCTTCTTTCCTCTGGTCAAAACACTCTTTTTGATATGATTTCCACAGTTGATGTCATTTCAAAACAAGTAACTTTTCTGGCTCCGAGTCTGGGATTAGGACGAGTCTTCCCTGACAGACCTTGCATCGGTTCTTTGAGACTTTGTACATATTGAGTTTCTTCTCAGCTAATAAAGCTGCCAGTGTGTGCCACCGGACCACTTTTGGGAGGACAAGCTGAGCCCCATAAAAACCTTACCGTTTGCCAAACTCCTCTCTGCATCTCAGAAATGGAATGATCCGCAGAGTCTCAGTATTGTAGTTTGTCCTGTTGGTTTTGTGTAATATTATTCTCTTGTTTTGACGTCGTAACTCAGAGGTTTTTCTGGGGTAATGTGATCTGAAGTGCACGCGGCCCACGTTAATGCAGAAGGTCTTTGGGCCAAGCCAATGAAGACGTCAGGGCAGGTACGGCTGACAAATAAAACTGTGGCGTGGCTTTAGAGCGACCGGGCGTTTGGGTTTAAGAGGAGTGACATCAGGCTGATCAGGTGGGAGCTACAGGCGGCTGCGAAACGTCTTCCTTAGAACTTGAAATTAAAGGTATAAAAGAGGATTTTTCCAAGTGTTAGGAAAGAACCACCCTCTGCATGTATTGAACAAAACACTCTGGTCTTATTGGACAAGCACGTATCATCAGAATGATTGACAGTTGGGAGGACCTTTAGCCTTTATGATCCACCTGGAAGTAGAAAATCCTCCTTTATACCTTTAACAAGTAAATTATCAATAAGAGCACGGGCCTCAAAAGTTCCTGAACTGAATTCGCAAAAGGAGCTTCCCAACCTCACTCCTGTCTCTGTGTGGACTGAAAGACTAAGCCCTGTAATTAGTCCTGACTCTAAGACCAGCCAGTCCCTGTGCTCCCCAGAGTCCCAGCACGAGGCCAGTCCCTGTGCTCCCCAGAGTCCCAGCACGAGGCCAGTCCCTGTGCTCCCCAGAGTCCCAGCAGGAGGCCAGTCCCTGTGCTCCTCAGAGTCCCAGCAGGAGGCCAGTCCCTGTGCTCCTCAGAGTCCCAGCAGGAGGCCAGTCCCTGTGCTCCTCAGAGTCCCAGCAGGAGGCCAGTCCCTGTGCTCCTCAGAGTCCCAGCAGGAGGCCAGTCCCTGTGCTCCTCAGAGTCCCAGCAGGAGGCCAGTCCCTGTGCTCCTCAGAGTCCCAGCAGGAGGCCAGTCCCTGTGCTCCTCAGAGTCCCAGCAGGAGTCCAGTCCCTGATGCATAGTTGAACAGTATTATATCCATGCTTTGAGGACCCGCCTCTTTAACTCTTATATCTCATCTACTTCTACATAACCTGATGATTTGGACGTGGCGTTCCTTTACCCACTTCTGCTGACGCCACAGACACGGTCTCAGCGTTTCACCACCTTCTTCAGCGAATCATAGCCGGGGGAGACGTGTCAGATCAGCACACATAAGACAACATGGGTACATTTGTGTTGGCGCAGGTACGAGCAGAAAGTGAGCGTGTCCATCTCCCGTCCAGACGCAGAACCATGTGGACACTCTTTGATAACAATCTGAATCACATCCCGGCTTCACGTGTAGAGTGCGGTGCCCGCTGTGGACTCTACTTACCCAACAGTTATATGAGAGATGGCAAACCACATTTTCCCCACTCTTCAACCTGAGCGAAGTAAAAACTATGGGAAGACTAGCACATCTGTCTCTGAATTATTGGGCAAATATTATGAAATGAAACGGTTTTTGCTCTGTCAAACATGGGACGTCAAGGCTCCGGTTCAGACGAGTGTGTGAGTCAGAAAGTAACGTGTAACAAAAGTAATGTAAGGGCTGCAATGTGTTTTGCTTTTTGCTGTATCGTAGTAATGTACTGCATCAAAAAGAAACCTGGGTAATATTTTACAAAGGTCAGTAATGTGCTTAACTTTGCATTTTTACCCTATTTCTTTATTCATTCACCACATTTAAACCACATATGAATATTTGACCTGAAAACAGCGAGACAGATTTTTAAAATTCGCATGGATTTTTAGTATTTCATTGGATATTGCTTTTATTTGTCAAACCAAGTCCAACAGACCAGGGCAACCTTAAGTGTCAGTAGCATATTTATATAGGGCACTGTCCGGTTTCCGAAATGTGCTAAAAATAGCTCAGATGACTGCGCATGCGCGCATGTTTCGGACAAACATTGTGTACGACTCGTTGAGTTCTACTGTGTTCTCCTCATACGCGTGTGTATTTATTTGGGCTAAATCATTGAATCATGGTGACAACAAAACACTGCAGTTATGGTGCTTGTCGGAGCGATTTCAGATACTCTGAAAAGGACTATGAAAGTAACATTCAACCCGTTCGTTAAACCACAACATCGGACCAGACCAGGACCAGACCAGGACCAGATCAGACCAGGTGGGTGCTTGTGGTCGGCAGAATTTCTCTCATGAAAAGGTTAAAAAGGGCACATGTTTTTTCAAAACACTTCGCTGGACCAACTGTGGAGCATCCAGATCCAGTCCTAGCTACGTTTAGCTGGGACTGGATCTGGACCGCTGTATCAGGTCCGTCTGAGCTCTTCTGAATGTAGTTAGCACAAACTTTCTCTTTACACCATTTACCCCCATCAATCCATATTAGTATTGTTTGTCCTAATCCAGAAAGTATACAATTCTCACACCTGAAGAAAGATGAGAGGGATTTTTTTCAACTTTGTGTCTGCTTATTATACGGCTTTGTACCAATTGAACACACAAAATAAACGTCATTCACTACTCATGCCGAAAGGTTTATTTAATGAGTGCAAAGAAAATAGTTCCCAAAGGTTTTCCCGTGGCAGGCGAGTAACAGTGAGGATAGTTAACCTAAAAGCGATCGCTTTAGTCGCATTAAAAAAGTATTTTTGTCATGAAAACCTGAACAGTTAATTCTGAAAACCTCCGTGCACTTGTGTTATGAATGTGTATAATGTATTCTCCCATTAACATTTAAATGTGTTGATTGATTGTCATTTGCGTTTACTGAGTGTGGCTAGCTCTGATAGTTTCTCTCAGAGACAGTGGCGTAACCCGTTGTGATCATGGATTTATTATAATATCAGCTGACTGTAGCTAACTAATGATCAAACTAATTACAAAGTGGATAGTGCAAAAACAACTTGATAAATGGAAGTTAATCACAGCAAAACAAACAAAGAAGGCGCTAGCATTGCAATTTAAATGACTAGATAATGTTAGCATAATCCTCACCATTATCTTTTTATCAATTCAAACCGTCTACCAGTTACTGGAAGACCACGACATTCAAGCCAACGTTATAATTGGTCTACACTATGATCCCTGATGGTTTGATGGTGGAATTTTGCCCCTGGTATATCATTTTCGTCTAAAGTGACAAGTGGTATTTGATTCATTTCGGCAGTGTTTGTCCGAAACATGTGGGCGGGAGTTGACAGGCGGCGGGGGCGTGTCTTAGTGACGTCATTTAGATAGTTCGCTATTTGTAAGACATTTTTCAGTATCTCTCCTGTCGAGTGCAGTGAGGCCGCCCAGTCACCGGGTGGAGTGTGGCTCAGGTGTGGGTCTTTGTACCGGGGCTAATGTCTCTGCTAACAGCTAGCCGCTCAATGTTTAGCATCGAGGTGATCCGGTGATATGTCCAGACTTATTGTGCACTTCCTCATTCCTACAATCCCTTCATTTTAACAACAATGTGTTCAAATCTCAGGCCTAGATTTTATACTAATCCTGCCCCTAAGTGTTGCCCCTTTCTGGTAAACGACCCTGAGGCTGAAGCAGAACCAGCACCATTTGGACAAGAGTACATTTTACAGATGGACAGACTCATTATTTAGAGTTTGGGGAAAGTGACTTTAAAGTATTGCAGTTGTAGAGTAATGCTTTACAATTCAGAGACAGTAATATTGTAGTAACATTTTAGTTTGAAATGTAGTCTAGAATGTGCTTTCATTGTCGCGCTGTGAGGTCAGGAATTGAACGCCGTTTTTGCAGAAGTGAAATATGCTGCAAAACACTGAATCCGCTGCATGTGACGGCGGTACCTGCTTCTGAGAGGAGACGGTGAATGTTTTAGTCTGCGTCTCCCACTGTTTACAGAAAAGGTAAATCTATATTCCCGAGGAGAGACGGCAGGAGGCCAGAAGGTCACGTGTAAATCAATATTTCCAGTAAAATCTCACTCTGCATGTTTTTTTTATTCTGTTTCAAACCTCAAAGGCTGCGGCCGCGAACAGAGCAGAAGCAAAGAACTTTACTTCAGGGGAAAGGAGTGACGGCGTTTTCAACACCAGCAACGACTCTACTGCAGCCTGCACATTATCAGGCATGAGTTAAATGCGGGTCTGGGGGCAAATTGTGGCCCTCAGTGACATTGTATGCGGCCCTCTGCCTTGCTAACCCAGAGCAGTCTTTTAGATCATAAACGCAAGGTCACTGCGTCATCCATCCAACTCCAGCTCAGCCATTATAGACCTCATTCTAAAGCCCATACGTCTGGATTTCAGTCATTGACTTCATTTGCACAAACTAAAATAACCTGGTTGTTGATTGTGTCACTAACTTGCATTAATGGTGCTACTGAAGCTGGTGAAATGGTAAACATGTGTCATTAAGCCAACTTCAGCTCTGTTATAGATCATTTTCAAACTCAGAACAGTCAAGACAGTTTTTCAGTCTGTGATGTCGGCCCCATTAAGATGAAGAGATCCTTTATTAGTCCCACGGTGAGGAAATGTCAGTGTTGCATCACCGGGGACAGAACGGCAGGAATGAGGAAGTGAACTATACCTCTATACTGAAATAAAATGAAATCTAAAACTTTAGCATAATCAATAAGCAAGAATAATGTACTGTATATTGTATATTCTAGTGCAAGATCAGCATGAGGGTCTGGGGCAAAGTGACACATGTGGTTCTATATCACTCATTCTGTCACAGGGTGAAAAACAAGGAGACACAAAATGCAACATATATTATGACCTAAGGAAACAATGAAAGTTTTCACTTTACAGCCGCCCCACTGTGGCACCTGGTCTTCCCAGAGGTCTTGTCTTGCCAAGGACACATCGAGCAGAGGGCACCACTGGGCTCGGTGAGTCTTTTGGTGGGCTCGAACCCACGACCTTTGGCTCAAAGGCCAATGCTTTCCTAACAGTACAAAAGACGACACAGGGGGTAACAAATTATAAAATAAAACAGAAAATAACACACACACATTCTGTATTATTGCACAGATTACTAGAGTAAACTGACAGTATGTGTCTGCGATAGATCCAGATACAAATGTAACCACTTATACTTTCTTTGAAAAGAATAAAACATGTTCTATATAAAATATATCTGTATATATTTTTCTGTATATACACACATTTTGATACAAGGACAAAGAAACAAGGCTGAATCATCAATTCATTCATTTTAATTTAAGAATTTTCCAGCTTTTGTAGCAATTTAGTTGGTCCCTCACCTTTTGATAGTTAAGTACTTAAGAAATCTGTATTTATATGGTGCTAATGAAGTGCTAATGAAGTGCTAATAAAGTGCTAATGAGTGAACCCTCACTATAAACAACATGGGGAAGAGTCAGTTTGTAGTTAGTTAGATGTTGGAAAAGACCATGGAGAAATAGAATAATATTAATATAACCATTAGTTATACACTTGCTGGTAATTAGTGAGCGCTATAAAAAAAAGGATTACTTACTGTCCTTACTTACTAAACTAAAAAGTTTGACCCGAGCTTTTATTTTTAACTTCCTGGAATCACAAACTAAAAACCAGTACATTTCCTCGGTTATAAACATAGATTATAATATTGGGAAACAGTATTTGTATGAGTTGATAGTCTGGGATTTCTAAAATTGGAAAACTAAAGGAAATAAAATCTTGAATAATACCAAACTGTGAACGGAAAAAGTCCAATTTAAAAACAGTTCCAGAACATTCCGTCCTTGTTAACGCTGCGGCCGCATACCTCCGAGCCTGCCCACTAATTCCTCTCCCGGCCTCCAACAACAAACAACACCTTTTTACTCTCTTTAAAAAAAATATCAAAACAAACAAGCGAGCAGTGCGACATCATTCCCGACTCCCGTTCCGAACCGGGTCGTCTTCCCAGGCCGCGCTCCGACCCGGGCTCTGCTTCAGATATGCAACAAACAAACACGCTCGGCCACGGATTCTCAAAGAGGTCAAACTAAGCGTGAAACCGAGCCCTGAAAGCGAGGTCGGGGGAAGAGGAGATGGGAGTAAACACAGCTCCATGGGTCGTCTGTTCTCGGCTCGTTACGCTCCGGGGACACGGCGGCTCAAACTGCGCCAATGTTTACGCTCCGGGCTTTACCTACCGCCAAGCGCTTAAAATATGGTGTCGCTGATCGCCAAGAAATGAACTGTTTGATTTAAAACAAGCTCCTTAAACAACGGTTTGGATTAGTTTCAGGAGGAGGAGGAGGAGGGAGGAGGATGGAGGAGGACGTAGGAGGAGGGAGGGAGGAGGACGGAGGAGGAGGGAGGAGGACAGAGGAGGACGGAGGAGGACAGAGGAGGACGGAGGAGGAGGAAGGAGGAGGAGGAGGGAGGCAGAGGAGGAAGGAGGAGGAGGACGGAGGAGGAGGGAGGCGGCAGAGGAGGAGGGAGGAGGAGGAGGGAGGAGGAGGGACGCAGAGGAGGACAGAGGAGGACGGAGGAGGAGGGAGGAGGCAGAGGAGGAGGGAGGAGGAGGAGGCAGAGGAGGACAGAGGAGGACGGAGGAGGGAGGAGGAGGAGGGAGGAGGAGGACGGAGGAGGGAGGAGGCAGAGGAGGAGGAGGAGGAGGAGGACGGAGGAGGAGGGAGGAGGACGGGACGGAGGAGGAGGGAGGAGGCAGAGGAGGAGGGAGGCAGAGGAGGAAGGAGGAGGAGGACGGAGGAGGAGGGAGGAGGCAGAGGAGGAGGGAGGAGGAGGAGGGAGGAGGAGGACGCAGAGGAGGACAGAGGAGGACGGAGGAGGAGGGAGGAGGCAGAGGAGGAGGGAGGAGGAGGAGGCAGAGGAGGACAGAGGAGGACGGAGGAGGGAGGAGGAGGAGGAGGGAGGAGGAGGACTGAGGAGGGAGGAGGAGAGCGGAGGAGGAGGGAGGACGGAGGAGGACGGAGGAGGAGGGAGGAGGACAGAGGAGGACGGAGCAGGAGGGAGGAGGAGCGGGGAGGAGAGCGGAGGAGGAGGGAGGACGGAGGAGGAGGGAGGACGGAGGAGGAGGGAAGAGGACAGAGGAGGACGGAGGAGGGCGGAGGAGGACGGAGGAGGACGGAGGAAGCAGAGGAGGACAGAGGAGGAGGGAGGAGGCAGAGGAGGAGGAGGACAGAGGAGGAGGGAGGAGGACAGAGGAGGAGGGAGGAGGCAGAGGAGGAGGAGGACAGAGGAGGAGGGAGGAGGACAGAGGAGGAGGGAGGAGGCAGAGGAGGAGGAGGACAGAGGAGGAGGGAGGAGGCAGAGGAGGAGGACAGAGGAGGAGGGAGGAGGAGGAGGACAGAGGAGGAGGAGGACAGAGGAGGAGGGAGGAGGAGGAGGACAGAGGAGGAGGGAGGAGGACGGAGGAGGACGTCTCATACTTTCTGGGCACTAATCCAAAGTTTATGGAGATGTGGTTAGACTAAATATATTCAGTGATGAATTCAGTAAATATGAGGTTTTGATCATTCTTTAATCCAAGTCTGGAGGAAAAGTGGGATTTAAAGAAAACATTCAATTCATTAACTTTCATTTTTAAACATATATTAGTTCCAAGCTTTCAATCATGTCATTTTTTCATTTCTTTGAAGATTAAAGTTTGAGTTCAAGTTTATTTAAGAAAGCCCAAAACATAAATTCATACAAACATAACTATTTACAGAGCATTTTATTGGTTATTTGTTATGTGTGCAAAATACTACATGTTTTCTAGTAAGAAAACCAAACTCTTTCGGTTTGACCAAAACAGAAATAAAAATATGTCTGTTATTGATGGAATGATGATAATTTAGTTTTATTAATTTCATGATCAAAGACAACAAAACAGACAAACCCCAAGTCCTGTCCCTTCATCCACAGCTGCAGTCTGATCACAGTCTGTAATTTGGCCCTTGTTCCGGTACTGTATGTTTTTCTTTCTGTGTATTTTTGTGTATCTTGTGAGTATTGTAACTATTCTATGGACATGGATTTCCCTCAGGAGACAGTACAGCTCCATCTATCTAATCAGAACATGCATTTGCCTTTATCCTGATGCTCACAGCACCAGTCCCTGTGATCCTCCTGAAGGGTTAATGGCTTCTCCGTCGGCGATGACACAGCCTTGGTCTTTCAGCAGGGGCTTCAGGCAGAGTGGGGTTAAGTGTCTTGCCCAGGGACACAACAAACAGAAATTCAATGCATTCTTGTATATCCCTAAATCACAACAGTAGTTATTTCAGAGGACTCACGGATCTAGATTTAGAGCCCATGTCAGACTTCAGTGGGAGCAGTTGGAGTAGATCTGGTAGGGGATTGAACCCACAACCATTAGGCCCGAAAGCCAATACTCTACCAACTGAGCCGCTGTCACCCCACAGAACGAACACGACAAAAACGAGAAAGAAGAAGACAGCCGCATGAGTCGGTGATGTCATCCAAATGTTTTCTTGGGTCGTCATCTGGACAATGTTCTCGAAATCAGGACGGTCTGAGTGCCAGGCGGGCGAATCCAAACAGACGCAGAGCTGGAGGACTAAGAAGTTAAGTCCATAAGCTTCAAATCCACGGCTACAAAACAATGGATATTTAAGTTCCCATGAGAACTAGGAGAAAATATTCCAGCCTCTGCGTTCTGTGACGCTGTTGAGACTGGTCGACCGGAACCATGACGTAAACAAACCCAACCTCAAGTCCGGTTCGTCGTGGAGCGTTTTTGGGGTCGTTTTAGTCGTGAAAATGAGATGGAAGTATTTGTGGCGCTGATGAGTTTACACGAAAGCCCGTTTGTTTACTTCCACATGATTTCTCTGGTGCTGTGGGCTAACCACCGGGACAAATGACATCTGACAGATCAGCAACACACACTGCTACGACGGATTAGCAAAGTACAAAATGCCGTGTCGATGGTACACTGCAAAAAAAATCAATAAGAGGTAATAATTTTCTGATTTTTGTGGTTTGTATCTTAACTTGAGCACATTCTGACTGTCTTTGAACGAGATTTCTTATTCCAAGGAAGACATTTGTTAAATAATTCCAAAGCAAGATCATTTTGTCTTGGCATATTTCAGTTTTTACTTTTCTCAGTTTGAGACTCACTTCACTCACGCAGAATCCAGCTTGTCTCAGTCAATGACTTCTACTGACCGCCGCACAGATGGTTTAAAGTAGGGGTACCTACTGTACCAACTGTACCTACTGGCAGCTCGTTTTGGTCAGATTCGTTCAAAATATTCTACTTTTACAGAACTCTTTCGGCTGGACCATGTCGTATGTCTTATTCATTATGCCAAATATTACAGGTTTTTTAGAACGATACCCATCCATCCATTTTCTTCACCTTAATCCATTTCTGGGTCGGGGGGGTGGCAGTCAGAGCTACACCCAGTCACAGAGCACCAGCCCCTCACTGATCCTCCTGCAGGTGCTGAGTCCACACGAGCTGAGATCTTCCAGTGAGGGCTTCAGGCAAAGTGGGGATTAGTGTCTTGCCCAAGGACACAACGACAGCAGTCATCAGTAGGAGTCGTGAAGTAGGTTATACGGTGGGCTCGAACCCACGACCTTCAGGCCCATAGGCCAGTGCTCTACCAACTGAGCCACTGTCGCCCTGCCCTTGACTTTTCTGTTCAGTAAATCCAACATTTTTGCATTGCTGTATTATAGGTCCTTCGTTAATTTCTCCTTGTGAGTATATATATAATATATTTTTTAATTTATCCAAGTAGAAGTTTGTTTGCTGATGATGCTCTCATTCTGAAGTCAAACCAAACCATAAATCTATATACGTTTCTCCTTTTGACACAACAAGTGAGACTTTGTAAGCTCTAAACCAGAGTGGTCCATCAAAGCCGCCCCACAAATAGAAGTGGTCAGTGGTGACAGCTGTACAATCCTGAACTTTCCAGTCCGCTGCAGATGAAGAGTGGCTCAGGGGGGAAGAAGAGGGGCTCAGGGGGTGTGGGTCCTCAGAAAGACTGAACGGTGCCAAAGTGTGGAGTTATCAGCCCTGAAACCCTCATCCATCTTCAGAGCACTTCAGTGACGAAAAGAAAACAAGCAGAACAAGACGCCCATAGAGCATCCAGCGTTCTCACCCTGACCAAACATACGTCCAGGTATCAGGACGCTGAGGAGGCTAGAGGGGGCCAGAGAGGGCTTGGATAGACCCACTGGGATCCAAACATCAACGCAAGCTGCTGGGGAGTCAAAACAAGCATCAGGACTGCTTTACTGCAGAGCACAGGTAATGCAGGGTGTCACATTGTGGACAGAAGGAAACATTACCAGTGATTTGAGACATACAGTAAAATACAGATATCCCCAATAAAGGCTGGGTCCAGTCAGATGCATTGTGGTTATTCACTGTAATAAACAATAACAGTGTCATGAAATCAAATGATAGAAACTGATCTGGTCCAAACTGTTTATATGTGCCAGAAGTTTACGGGCTACTGCACTTTAGTCTTAGGGTAAGTGCTCTAATGGTGCTGGTCCTAGAGGTCTCTGATAGTATCCTTGTACTGGTCCTAGAGGTCTCTGATAGTATCCTTGTACTGGTCCTAGAGGTCTCTGATGGTGCTCTTGTACTGGTCCTAGAGGTCTCTGATGGTGCCCTTGTACTGGTCCTAGAGGTCTCTGATGGTGCCCTTGTACTGGTCCTAGAAGTCTCTGATGGTGCCCTTGTACTGGTCCTAGAGGTCTCTGATGGTGCCCTTGTACTGGTCCTAGAGGTCTCTGATGGTGCCCTTGTACTGGTCCTAGAGGTCTCTGATGGTGCCCTTGTACTGGTCCTAGAAGTCTCTGATGGTGCCCTTGTACTGGTCCTAGAGGTCTCTGATGGTGCCCTTGTACTGGTCCTAGAGATCTCTGATGGTGCCCTTGTACTGGTCCTATGGTGCTTTCACACCAGATCATGCGTTGCGTCGACTTTCAACGCAAAGTCAATGGTGACGCGCGTGAAACATGTGCGTCTCAGGATGCACGCACGGACTGCGCGGCAGACACGCACAAACTCCGCGGGGATGTCGTGGCAGAGGCAAAGGAGCTGAAAATTGACGCACACAGGAGATAAATATTGCCGAGCGTTTTGTCTGGACGCTTGTGCAGCGACCAATCAGAGAGCCGCAAGGGACATTAGTGGTCTGAGCGAGCAGACTGAACATACTGTAAACAGCCAAAACAGGAGCTACACCAGGACTAAACCAGGCCTAAACCAGGACTAAACCAGGACTAAAAGAGAGTAGACAATGGAGGACTGTGTCTTTGTGAACATACAATATACATTCTCATTTTCCCATGACGTTATGCAATTTCTTCGAGAGTGTTCGCCGATGCAAAAGTACCAAGTTATAATAAAATAAACGTATGGCACAGCTCTGTGAACACATACTACTGTTATATAAAGTCACCTCCGTGAACACATACTGCTGTTATATAAAGTCAACTCCGTGAACACATACTGCTGTTATATAAAGTCACCTCCGTGAACACATACTGCTGTTATATAAAGTCACCTCCGTGAACACATACTGCTGTTATATAAAGTCACCTCCGTGAACACATACTACTGTTATATAAAGTCACCTCCGTGAACACATACTGCTGTTATATAAAGTCACTTCCATGAACACATACTACTGTTATATAAAGTCACCTCCGTGAACACATACTGCTGTTATATAAAGTCAACTCCGTGAACACATACTGCTGTTATATAAAGTCACCTCCGTGAACACATACTGCTGTTATATAAAGTCACCTCCGTGAACACATACTGCTGTTATATAAAGTCACCTCCGTGAACACATACTGCTGTTATATAAAGTCACCTCCGTGAACACATACTACTGTTATATAAAGTCACCTCCGTGAACACATACTGCTGTTATATAAAGTCACTTCCATGAACACATACTGCTGTTATATAAAGTCACCTCCGTGAACACATACTGCTGTTATATAAAGTCACTTCCATGAACACATACTACTGTTATATAAAGTCACCTCCGTGAACACATACTGCTGTTATATAAAGTCAACTCCGTGAACACATACTGCTGTTATATAAAGTCACCTCCGTGAACACATACTGCTGTTATATAAAGTCACCTCCGTGAACACATACTGCTGTTATATAAAGTCACCTCCGTGAACACATACTGCTGTTATATAAAGTCACCTCCGTGAACACATACTACTGTTATATAAAGTCACCTCCGTGAACACATACTGCTGTTATATAAAGTCACTTCCATGAACACATACTGCTGTTATATAAAGTCACCTCCGTGAACACATACTGCTGTTATATAAAGTCACCTTCGTGAACACATACATTGGAGAAGAACTTTGTAGAAAAAGCCTTTAGCTTAACTCCGTTAGCGTCAAAGTCCGTCCGCTTCTTCCGCCACTTCCTGTCTGAGTACTGGTACTGGTCT